GTGATAGACAATCCCAAGACCAGACGAGGGTAGTTTTAGCACGTCCGGGAGATTTAAACTCCACGGAGGTTGTTGCTGAAACCACTTACGGTGGACTAAACTCCTCTGTCATTCATCTCCCACAACACGAGACACTCTGGTTTGGAAGGAGAGAAGCGAAACAGTTTACAAGAGCGGGACGGTACCAATTACTCGAACCCTGGTGAGACTCTCAGGTCATGCTGAGTCACCACCACTTGATCTGGGCGAGAATTGGTGACCTATTCTCAATTCGTTTAATACTTAAAGCTTTTTCATTAAACCTAGGGAAAATCTTTTCCCGGTTTATTCCGGTTAGCTCAATGATTCCCAGAACCAGGACTAAGTTACAGTAATGAGCTCGGATTATTTATTTTCATGCATAAAGCCTTAAGGTTCAAAAGAAAACACAGACAACAACATGAAATAAAGAAAACGAGAAACAAAGTGTATGTTTAACTCTAGTCGTCCTTGACGGCTGAATCAGCATCTTGAGTCTTGACCTCGGAGATGATCAGTCATCCTAGCAGCAATAAGGCCATCCTTCTGTCCAGAAAGTGCTATCACGCCTAACCGTACTAACGTGAGCAGTGTGTTGATGTTCACCATGAGGATGCTCCACATCGTTCAATTCATAGTCACACAACGAATCTTAGGCCATGAGTTTCTCTACACACGGTACTTGCGGTACACGTGACCTACCTTGAGCATCGGCGTCTTGTCAGACACGTTAACTCCATATATACCAGGTTGCGTCAATATATCGAAAACATTGTTTATCTGTTTAGAACATTCAATTACTTCGGAATAGTTAATTTCCGCTGTTTGAAACTAAAACTCTATCATTTGGGTGTTCATCGTCGCTACAAACTGCATTTGTATTTGTCTTAAACTTTTGAGGAAACAAAAAGAAAGACAAGGAGATATCCAAAATTTTGTTCAATATTATATGTAGATAAGGGTCCATTTTAAGCCTAAACTTACACATTATCTGAACTTGCTTCTATGTTTAAACGTACAGATTTCATTTGAACAATAGACCTTATTGAAATCCTAAGAATACCTTTCAACTTCTCCATCATCAGGTTTCAGAGAAATTGTTGTGCTCTTTAAAAACTTAGAGTTGGCTAGGATGTATGTCAGGAATTGTTCCTCTTCTTCTCTTCCTCCATATTTTTTCCACCTAAAGACTTGGACGTGACGAAAAGCATTCGGGTATAGAATAACTCGGTTGGTTCTACGAAAGTGTAAGATCCTTGGATGTATTTTTCTGAGAAGCAAACAGGAAAATAGAGTAAACACATAATAACTTTATATTTTTTTTAGTCCATATTAAAGCTAGAAGAGGAGGAGGATACACGTACACAATCTACCAATAAATCTTCTAGTTTAGGAGAATTTCCAAAAATGTAATCACAACGTACAAGAGTGGGAAGAGAAAGAGAGCTACCATTGCATCCGACAAAACCTCAAGAGATGTGACCGAAGAAAGATAACTTAGAAACGTTTTATCAAGGTAAGACTCAATCTTAATACATGCTTATTCAAGAAAAGGCACATTCTCAATCGAGCAAGAGTCTTGAATTATCATAGATGTCAAAGCTCTCTAATGTCAGAGTATCAATAACGAAGCACCTACCAGTATCTTCTACATCATTGTGTGACGAAAAATTAGTATACTACTTATACACGAGCCTTCAACTATAGGTGCCTTGTGGCGTTGCATTTTAATTTGTCAAGAAACAACAAAACACTCTTTTTGCTATCATCATCATCATCATAAGACCCAATATTAGTACAAGCAAATCTTCACGCAACTCGCTAATAATTACTTCGCCAATTGTCTCTTCAACTTTGGCTTCTGGCATCTTCACGAGGCAAAACCCTAACCCTATGAGAAGGCGTCGGCGTCGAAATCGTTATAACCTAATAGGTGTAATGACTCTTATCATAGAGGGCATTATCACATCTAATTTAAAGAAGAAGGAAAAAACAAAAAAGAGGTAATTAAGATTACCTCAATTCGCTAACCCAAAGGCATGATTCTCTGTGATAGACACATCCCCACCGACGACCGTGAATCAACCCTGCCGATCAAGGAAGAGGCACGTCCAGATTGAATTTCTTAGAAACCATGACCGGGAGACTAAACTCCATTGTCATTAATCTCCCACGAGATATTCTCATTTGAAGGGAGAGAAGCGAAGCAATTTCCATCTTCGTCGAGAGACTAAACTCCATTGTCATAAATCTCCCACGAGATATTCTCATTTGAAGGGAGAGAAACGAAACAATTTCCATCTCCGTCGGGAGGCACCAATTACTCGAACCCTGGTGAGACTCTCAAATCATGCTGAGTCACCACCACTTGATCTGGTCGAGAATTGGTGACCTATTCCCAATTCGTTTATTACTTAAAAGCTTTTTAAACCTAGGGAATGTCCCGGTTTATTCCGGTTCGCTTAATGATTCCCAGAACCAGGAATAAGTTACGGTTATGAGCTCGAACTATTTTTTTCCATGCATAATAATATAAGCTTTTTGAGATAGAGGACAAAGTTATGTTCCCTGGTTGATCTCATCAGATTGTATCCGCTTTCGATCTGGTTTCATCAGTTGCTCAGGTTTAATTGTCTACCTAGTTTGGGTTGTCGTCTCCCTCGTTTGGGCTTATGCTTCTCTTCCTCGATTAAATTACTTTGTTAGTTTGGGGTTGAGCTCTTTGGTTATGTCTAGGATCTATCTCATTTAGTATTAAGCGATGTTTGGCTTAATTACTAGTTAGTTGTGGCGTTGAAAGGTCTAAGTGGGTCTCGATTATCTTACGGTTCACCCGGGAGACCCTTGACAAAGACACTCATAGAGAAAGATGCATCTTCACACCCAAGTAAAGAGCCTTCAAGTACTAACGGTACTGTAAAACTCTGTTTTCCTCTGTTTTATCTCTAAGTTAAGTATCGCGTTTCACGTTTTAAACTCTCTGTTTTTTTACTTTTACCTTCTCCCTAAAGATGTAGTACTGTTTAAGAAGCTTGAGAGCTAAAAAGTTGAGAGAATCCTATACTAATATTTGGGAAGTACATCCTAAGAGTCATAACTTAGATTTTGTAAGAAATTACAATATATGCCATTAGAGATCTTTAATTATAATTTTTTTATTCCATTTCACTAATATATATTAACGGGTCAAATGGATTTAAAGATATTCAAAGATTTTGTTTATATAATACATAATTAATATAATTCGAGAATGTTATATACTAATCAATTCGAAAATGTAACACAATTAGCAAAACTCCTATACTAATATACTAATATATTATTCAGAAATGTTATTGAAAATGTTATTCAAAATGTTATATAGTAATCCATTATTCGAACATGTTATAAAAAAATGTTATTGTAAATGTTAATGAAAATAATATATCATTGAAAACACTTTATATCAATCCAATTTATAAAAAATGCTATTTTGAATTATAATACTCATATAGTTCGAAAATGTTATTGAAAATATTATCCAAAATGTTATATCCTATACTATTATTTGGGAAGTATATCTTATAAGTCGTAACGTTAATTTTGTAAGAAATTATAATATATGCCATTAGAGATCTCTAATCATAATCATTTTAATTCCATGTCACTAACATTAACAAATTAATTAAAAAACGGGTCAACTAACGAAAAACGGGTTTAAAGATCTTAAAGATATTAGGTTGTTATATTTTGTTTAGATATATATTCGTATTCAAGCAATTCGTAATCTTTGAGAATATATTCAGTTTCCCTAAAATCTTTGAGAATATATTCAGTTTCCTTAAAACCCTTTATAAAAAAAAAAAAGTTATAATAGTTGTTATATTCTAGATCGTTTTTTTGTTTAGTTTTACGTTTTTTGTTTAGCTTAATCACGCATCAATATAATCAGCTATTCGGTTTCCTTAAAATCTTTTCTAAAGATTGTCAAATCTCTCTGTTATATAATTTTGATCCTATATTCCAAATAATCTAGAATATACCTTTCTAAAATATTATCAAACTATTTTATGCTAATTAATATATTTCTGAATCTCCTAATTATCACAAACAATCTACAACTATAAATATCTATTTAGGTTTGACGTACCTTTCTCACAAAAATCATCTCAGCACCATTCTCATATCCTACAATTAAGAATACAACATAAATGGCTATGGTTAGTCGCTACATTCCTATTAACAACTTGAAGCCTGTCAAAACTTTTTGGTGTATTCAAGTTAGTATACTTCATTCGTGGATTCATTTTACAAAAGGTTCTGGCATGTCTTTGGAAATGATTTTGACAGATGAGGCTGTAAGTACCATTGAAATTTTATACAATTCTCTTTGTAATATAAGTGCCGTAAGTTTTAAGTCATCTTATTTTAATTACAGGGTAACAAAATTCAAGCAGACATCAAAAAGAAACACATCAGCAAATTTCAGTGGTATGTTAAACTGTTTTTTTCCTTTTTTTAAAACCATGAAACTGGGCCCCACAAACCCAATATAATCCATTAAAAAACTTAGACCCAATACAACTATTTTTTTGTTTGTTCACAATCACACAATAAAATTATCAATACCTAATTGAACCAAAGAAATTGTTAATCTCATATAAAAAAAATACAAATCTAATGCTGCTAAATATATTAAATTCTAAAATACAATATTCTCTTTTCTTTAGTCAAATAAAATATATAACATTATATCCAAATAATAATAAATATAAAATATTATGATATATTCCCTTTTATATTATATTATTTCTTATTTCTTCAATTAAAATATATAATTTAATTCATGAAAAATATTAAATCCCGTGCTATATAGCACGGGTCATGATCTAGTAGAGGAACATAAGACATGATTATGATTTAATTTAAAAAGGGACGCTTTAATTAATTTGTATACAAATATTGTTTGCATATATATATACGAGAACTGAAAGTGAAAAGTAAATCTAATTTTGAAATTCTTGAAAGCTTCAAATTTGTCTCCAAAGGACACGGACAAGTTGTTGCAAGAGACTAGCTCCCACAATCTCCTAAACCGGACCAATTCAAATCAAACTAAACCGATCATGTCAAGTATTTAAAGGAGAAACATGAAAAGAAGATCTCTCTAAGCAAAAGAAAATATGGGTGTACTTGAAAACCTATGGGACGACGTTGTGGCTGGTCCTCGGCCTGAAGCCGGTGGCCGTGGCCATCTCCGGCGAATCTCCACCGGCTTAACTAGCTTGAACAATACCACAGGTGAACCAAAATATATAAGAAACAGTAAACACTAGCGGAATTAGTAGAAAAAGATGAATATATTTAGGATAATAAAGGAATAATTATGTTCCACTAATTCTTCTTGAACATAGAAGATGATTTATTTCTTTTAACCCTTTTTAACAATTAAATTTTTCCCTAAAAAGAATGGTTACCATTCATGATGAAAGGTAAAATTTTGGAACAGTCAATAATTCAATCATATTATATTCTTCTAATTGTAATATCATTTAAATCTATACATTGTTCTAATCGGAGTGTTACATATGTGGGGGTTTAGAAGGAATGTCAGTGGCCGGATCGGTATCTCTTCCGGCGAGTCCGGCTACTCCGGTGACACCAGGATCTGGTCGGAAAGTAGATGTGTGGAGGAGTGTATTTCATCCGGCAAGTAATGTGACTACAAGGGAGATTGGTGCTAATGTCTTTGACAAACCCTCTCATCCTAATTCTCCAACGGTTTATGATTGGTAATTATTATATTATCAACTTTATAGAGTAGTTGGATTTAAGGGTTACAAAGCTTATAATTAAATTAACTTTATAGATATTTTTTGTGAATTTAATAATGGGTTAAATGGTTTTTTTTGTTAAGGAAATGGGTTAAATGGTTACAAAGCTTATAATTAAATTGCAATTAGGTTTTTTTATTGATTACAAAAATTATAGCTGTTGTTGCTGCATGACAGGATGTATAGCAACGAGAGCAGGAGCAAGCACCGTTGAAGCTTACCATTTATCAACGAACCGTCAAATTAATAAATCAAGACTTCATAAAATTAAATCGTCAACTTCGATTTTCAAGATGGTTAATAATCAATTGAGTGTGCCGTATAATTAATGTTTAAATAAATTCGAAAGACGAAATCATCATCTTTATTAATTTCAAACACTCTTTATAACAATCAAAATTGGCTTGCAAATATAGTTTTATGGTCCAAAAAGACGTTTCTAACTTTTGCATGTAGCGTTCAATTAATTCTTCTACATTTTCCGTTATAGTAATCAAACTAATTAGCTTGTGGATACCTTTTATGGTTCAAATACGATTCTAACTCTGAATGTAGTGTTGCAATATTTTAAAGTTGTAAACATTATGTTGTCCCTGACACCGTTGTACGAAGTGGACTATCCCAAAACCCGTTTCTCTTTTGACATCTAAAAGTTATAATTATTACTCATTCCATGATAAAACCATTCATGCTCGACCACCGTCTTTCAGCCCTAGTTGACATTTCTAGACTCATACACAACCAAGTTATATCTATAAGAAGAGTTAGGTTGGATGACATTAAACTCAGAAGCAATTTTTTTTTTTTGACATCTTTGGATCGACAAAACCCGATTTATAGTCAATTCCTACTTGCGGGGTAACATGTTATTAAGAATATCAATAGAAAACAAAATGATTGCTTGTCTTATTTATAAACGCAATTGGATAATTTTACCTTCGTTTATTTTTTATTTTTCCAAAGATAAAAAGGACGATATGTTTCTTGTAACATGTTATTTTTAAGTAGAATCCAAATTTTAAGATAGATCTAAGAGTTTAAGATTTATAATATGTGATTAGTTTTTGTTAGAATACTAGATGATATTATGATCAATTAAACGTCTACTAAAAATAACATGTTATGATTAAATTTCATTATTCCACTAAAAGTTAAATAATAAATACATAGAAAAATTATCATTATTCGTATAAAACAGTTTAATAAATGATAAAATTAGAATTTTGAAATCTTCATTTTCTTTTATTTCTATTTACTACTAAATTTGTTTTTGTTTTATTATCATCTACTTAAAAAAATTTCTCCAAATATGGTCCTCTACAAAATTGACTCTACATATATAATGCACATCCTAACTTTTTATATATTTATTATTATTATAAGTATATAAATACTGAAACCAATTAATGTATGCAAAAATAAACATTTAACTTATTTTCCAAAGAAGTAGATTTGAATTAATTAATTTTAGCCAAGAAAATAAGTGATGGAGAAAAATCTCTCTCCGTTGACGTTGGCGGCTATGTTAGCTGTTTGCAGAAATATATGTATGTATAGATTGTTTATATACACATCTCTCTCTCTTGTGTCAATGCAGTGTTTCTTCGGTCAAATGATACCAATCTGAAACAGAGAAAAATCAATCCAATCTTCTTTTATTTTTGCGTATACCTCTCTCCAATCTCCATCTTCCATTAAAGTCTTAACCTTTCTTCATCACTTGCTCTTGAAAATTGTCTCTCCCCAAAAGGTCAAATCCTCACTTTATTCCACTTCCCCTTTCATGGGTTTGTCTTTAAAGTCTTTCACTTTGATCATCAGATTGAATTTTTCATCAAGATCGTTCTTTTCTTTGCTCAGCAATTGAAAGTTGTTGTCTTTTTGCTATGGAGGAATTAGGGTTCTACAGTGTATGAATTGGTTTTGGTTTTTTCTTAGTTGGGTTCAGTTTTCTTTCTTGATTGAGTTTGAATTTGACATCAAAGTTTTGTTTTTTTTTGGCTTTGTGTGTGGACAGGGATGGTGAAGTTGTTGTCTATGTTATGGATGAATTAGGGATTTGGATTTTGAGCTGTTGTTGATTCGTTATGGGTTGCATAATCTCTAAGAAGAAGTCACCAAAGAGGAATCCACCATGGAAAGAATCATTAGAGAAGCGTTCTTCGAGGATCAATTCGTCGAGGATTGATGATTCTAGCCAAACGAAAGAGGAGCAAGATCGGTCCAATAAAGTTAGGTTGATTGAATCTGAAAAGTTTAGTTCAAGTAGGTTTTCTGAGAAACATCAAGAGATTGCTGAGATTGGTGATACAGATGAAGATGAAGATGATGATCATCCACCTGAGGAGTTGAAGAGAGAGCCTAGTGTTGTGATTAGGCCCGGTCCTGAAGCGGTTTCAAAGGAAGCTGAATTGGCTGCAGGATGGCCAGCTTGGTTAGTCTCAGTGGCTGGTGAGGCACTTGTGAATTGGACTCCACGACGTGCTAGTACCTTTGAGAAATTGGAGAAAGTAAGTATGCTGTTGGTTTTTCCACCTTTTTGATCTGGTTTTATTCAATGATGAACTCGTTTTGACAAATGATTACTTCTTGTGTGGATGCAGATTGGCCAAGGTACATATAGCAGTGTATACAAGGCTCGTGATCTTATTAATAACAAGATTGTTGCGCTTAAAAGAGTCCGGTTTGATCTTAGCGATTTAGAGAGTGTTAAGTTTATGGCGAGAGAGATTATAGTAATGCGAAGGCTTGATCATCCTAATGTACTTAAGTTAGAAGGCTTGATCACTGCCTCTGTTTCATCTTCTCTGTACTTGGTTTTTGAGTATATGGATCATGATCTCGTCGGACTTGCTTCGATACCGGGTATCAAGTTTTCAGAGCCTCAGGTTATCCCTTTACTACGCTTTTACGTATCCTATTTCTCAGTATATCAATTTGTGTAGACTGATATCAACTTGTTCTTCTGCTGCTTAGGTTAAATGTTATATGCAACAACTTTTAAGCGGGCTTCATCATTGTCACAGTCGTGGTGTTCTGCATCGTGATATCAAGGGATCAAATCTACTGATTGACAGTAATGGAATCTTGAAGATTGCAGATTTCGGGTTAGCAACATTTTTCGACCCACAGAACTGCGTTCCATTGACTAGCCGTGTTGTGACTCTTTGGTATCGACCCCCAGAGCTTCTACTTGGAGCTTGTCATTATGGTGTTGGGGTTGATTTGTGGAGCACAGGCTGTATCTTAGGTGAATTATACTCCGGGAAACCGATCCTGGCTGGAAAAACCGAGGTACATACACTCTTTAAATCCATCTAGAACCCATCTACCCATAAGCTTAAAATCTGACTTATAATTTAATCTTTTCTAGGTAGAGCAACTGCATAAAATCTTCAAGCTATGTGGTTCGCCAACAGAAGATTATTGGAGGAAACTGAAACTACCACCTTCAGCTGCATTTAGACCCGCACTTCCATATGGTCGACGTGTAACAGAGATGTTTAAGGACTTGCCGATGAATGTTCTTTCGCTATTGGAGGCTCTACTGTCCATAGATCCTGATCAGAGAGGCTCTGCAGCTAGAGCTCTTGAGAGCGAGGTACAGGTTTAACTTATGTTTGATTTTGTTATTCAAACAAGCATTGTGATTAGTAACACACAGTTCTTGTGAAGCAGTATTTCAGAACAGAGCCGTTTGCTTGTGATCCATCTTCTCTACCAAAATATCCTCCCAGCAAAGAGATTGATGCTAAAATCCGTGATGATGCGAAAAGGCAACGACCCACCCAGGAGAAGAATGAGAGACAAGACTCCCAAACAAGACGATCACACGAAAGAAAACTTATCCCGCCGGTAAAAGCTAATAATCCATCATTTTCAACAGCTGTGGAGGTAATAGAAAGGCTCGATCTGCTATGGTTCGGTGTTGCCTCTGATCCATCAGAATCTTAACTTTAAAAAAACTTGTTGGCCAATACAGAATCCTTATCTAAGAAGCTGTGTTCCGGGTAATTCACAAAGACAAATGCAGAATACAAAGGACATGACCTGTAACAATCCAACGAGCGGAAGAGTCTCTCACTCGGGTCCGATGATGAAAAACCGTAATCTCAGTCGGTTAACATACGTGAAGGACAATGCAGCCCCTAGAATACCTTCATACAGAGCTAACTCAGCAGGACAAGGAGGTGGTTATGTTGGCTCAGATCAACAAATCATGGATCAGCAAAGGAAGGAATTGAGAACATTCAACAGAGCTGACACTATGGATAATAGTAAAAGGCAAATCAAAATCCCAAATGACCCATCTTGGGTAAGTTATCCCTCAGAGATTCTTTTTTTCTCTATTTCTCACTTACATTGTCATTAATCTCTCTCTCTATGTGTACATATAGTATGATTCAGGGGATAACAAAATGTATATGTCCGGTCCATTACTGGCTCAGCCAAGAAAAGTAGATCAAATGCTGGAAGAACACGACCGACAGCTCCAAGATTACACCAGACAGAAAGCAAAACAATGCAGAACCTAAGAATGATTTTGCTGGGAATCTTTATCAGAGGACAAAAACAGAGAACCATTCAAGTCTTGTTGTATCAAGAAGAGTCTTATCTGGTTCCTAGATTTTGAAAAATTTGTTTGTATTATAGAGATTAAATATTGTTGGCTTATAAAAAGCTAAGCTCTGTGATTATAATAGATTGATGTGTATAACATTTATATAGACTCATCATAGAGTTTGGTCTTTTTGTGTACATACATGTATGTACACTTCTTCATATATTTACAAAGATGTGTACATTACATATACATATATGTCATATATATTCCTGTTTTTGGTATTATGTTCCTGATAATAGATGTATTAAAACAGTTTGATAAAGATTTGAAAGAAAAACATATGGAGAATCAGATTAACAAGTCTTTCTCATACACAGTAAACTGTGTCAGAAGGTGTCCTAAGATATTTACTGATTATTATCATCATATTTCTCCAAGATGTTATCTTTCACAAAATTTGATATTTAAAATTACCAAAAATTGAGAAAAAAAAAAGCTTATGGAAACTGTTTTGAATAAAAAGGGATGAAGAATCAGAAAGAACGTAGCGAGTTGAAGTTTTTATCGATCAATTGAATCTAAGAATCATCACATATAATCGACAACTTTCATCACATTCTTCAGACCAATTTAAAACATAGTAAATTCGTGAATCATCAGAAGAAGAATTAAATAAAGAACAAGAAGAAGAAATCGGATGAATATGTATGGAGGAAGATGAGCTATTTATAAGAGATTGAGAAGAAACCCTAAATTTATCTGTTTGACTAAAAAAAGACACAAAATCTTAAACTCTGTTTTGGACACAAGTACAATTCCAGTTCGGACTGACTTTATTGGGTTACATGTTTCTTTTATTGGGCCTCGTTATTTACCCAATTTTGGCCCATTCTCTTGTTCTTATTTAATACAATCAAGAGAAAGTATTTTAGGTTACTATATAAATTAGTGAACGTTATAGACATATAGCCGTCTTAGCTCAGTGGTAGAGCGCGTGGCTTTTAACCACGTGGCCGTGGGTTCGATCCCCACAGACGGCGAAGTTTTATGATTTTTTTTTAGACTTTATTTCGTCAAAAATTCGATTTAGTTATTTAAGCATGGGCTTTGGCAAGTGGGTTTAATTAAAATTTTAAATTAGCGGTTAAATATATTATTGTGTAAATTATCTTTTGACGACCCAAGACAATTAGAAAGCCCTTCCTGTCGGTCAAAATTATAATTTAACCCATCATGTTTGATTTCGATCACTTACCACCCTAATTGTCTAAAAATTATTTAGATTGTACTAAGAAAGTGTAAATGCTTTTGATTTACCAATAAATTGAAATCAATTAGTCAGATGATGCTATACAAACTTTTATATTATAGACTCTTTCAATCAAATTTGACAATTACATATGATATTTTATCGCAGAATATTTAATATAGTCATTTTTCGCTATTATCAAAATTTTAAAAGTTTGAGAAATAATATATCAAATCGAAGCTCTCGAGACGATGATTTCAATTCTATCTTTACAATTTTTTAAAATCAAATGTATGTGACGGTGAAAATGTTACAATATATGTATAAGGGCAATATTGTATATTATTTTTGACTTCATAGGATTATTCTACATTTTTTGGAGATGAAAGGTAAAATTGTAAAAATCAACGATCAATTTTTTTTCTTTGCAAAAAACCCTTTAAAAATCGGGAAAAAATATCATTAAAATCCGCAACTTATTGAAAACGTTGATTTAAATCCTCAACTCTCGACGAAACGAAATAATTATCAAATTTATGTTGACTTTCCAAATAAATACCAAACTTTTGTTGACCTGACCATATTAGGCATGATGTTAAGTGGGTTCATTTTCTAGTTAACAGACCCGTTAATTGAAAACGACAGCATTCCCTCTAATAATAAAACGATGTTGTTTTAATGTAACTCTTCAATAAAATTCCGAGTTTCAAATCATATGAAAATTTAGGGTTAGAGATTTTGCTCGATTTAGAGATCTAAGATTAAATTTAGGAATTTAGTTCAATCGTTACAACAAAACGAGGTCGTTTTGTTGTTATAGGAAACGATGTCGTTTTTCAATTAACATGTATGTTAACAGAAAATTAACTCCGTAAACGAAATATAATAACCTAATTAACGTCATGTCTAATATGGCCAGGTCAACGAAAGTTTGGTATTTATTTGGAAAATTAACATAAATTTGATATTTATTTCCTTTCGTTCGGAATTGAAGATATAATTCAACGTTTTCAATTTATTTTAATGACAATTTTCTCCTTTAAAATCTGATTAAATAATATAATTAGGATATATTAATTAAACTGCAGAAAATGGCAAAAAGGGACTAAATCTCTCGCGTCTCGCCTTTTCTTTGTCCAATTTCATTCTCTTTTTTCGTGTATATCGGCACCGAACCAAAAAAAACACAAACGAAGCAGAGAAGAAGAAGAATAGAGAGAGACGTAGAGAGAGCCTTTTGGGTTTCTCTTAGAGAGCTCGTTGAAGAAGATCTTCACTCACTGTGTCCCTACAATGTCTGTGTCGAAGAGCTTCTCGTCGGCTGAGATTCCCGATGTGGCAGACCAACCACGCGACCGATTTAACCTGCAAGCTGAACAGGATCCACAAGACAAGGCTGAGAAGAAAGACGAAGAACAAGAAGGAGACGATGAGGAAGTGAAACACGACGAAACGGAGCAAGAACAAGAAGTGATGATACCCAACGAAGCCGAGGAAGAAGAGGAAGAAGATGGTGACGATGCAGATGAGAAGGAGGAAGAAGAGGAGGAAGAAGAAGAGGAAGAAGAAGCAGAGGAAGAGGAAGAAGAAGAGGAGGAAGAAGAAGAAGAAGAAGAAGGTAAAGGATTGTTTTTTGTGTGTCTACTCTCGTGGAAACGTGAATCACGCTTAAACGTGAGAGAGTGTGTTTGTTCATGTGATTGATTTGTTTTTTTGTTTCAGATTCTAAAGGAAGAAGTCCATCTTCTATATCAGGAGACCAATCAGAGTATGCTTTTTCTCATTTTCTCTTTCTTTTCTCTACTCTTTGTGCAGATGTGTTTTGCTGTGATGGGTTCTCTTCTCTAATTTCAATTCCTTGGTTTCAATAGTTCTTTACTTCTATTCAATTACATGTTAGAATTTCTCTGCTTGATTTAGTAATCTGTTGATGCATCTTCTTAGCACTTGCATGTTGTAATTCCTGTAGTATTGCAGCTCTTGTGGTTAAATAATGTAAAGTTTCTAGCTTGATTACTCAGTGTGGAGGTTGATCTTAAGAATGATTCATCTTCCATTTAACTTAACCTCTTTTAGTGTAGCATCTAGAAGATCCTGTTAAAGTCAGCTTTACCTTTTAGATTCTTTACAGTGGAATAAAGAAGCGGGATTGATCTTTGTTGTTGAATTGTGTCTGGATTTTTTCATGCAGATTTATGGAAATTGATCTAGGGGAAATCCGTAAAGACGTGCAGTGTCCAATATGCTTAGGTACTCAATTTTGTCCTGAATATTTCCAACACAGCATCCTCATTGGGAACCTAACTTTTGCTAAAGCTCGAAAGCCGTTACTTTCTTCAGTCGGCATGAAATTCTTGCGTCTTTCCATATCGTATTCTTGTACATAGTTCGCAGAGAATATGTTTAAACTTGTCTCTATTGAGGGAATGTCTTCAAGTCCTTCACACTCTATTATTTAAGCTCCATTGGTACAGTATGCTACATCGGGCTGATACGAGTTTCTTGTTGTCCTGTTTCCAGGAATTATAAAGAAAACAAGGACTGTGATGGAATGCCTCCACCGGTTCTGCCGGGAATGTATTGATAAGTCAATGAGATTGGGGTATGGCTTCAAATTGTTCGGGTCTTATCTATGTTGTTTTGGTTTTCTTTTTGCTTCTCGGAGCTATGCCACTTTCCAGTTACATGTTCATCATTCTCTTGGGAGCCATAAGTGTTGGCTTTTCTAAAGATTTGTTCTGAGTTTATATTAACTGAAATTGCTATTGCAGGAACAACGAATGTCCTGCTTGCAGGAAGCATTGTGCAAGCCGGCGTTCTCTAAGAGACGACCCAAAGTTTGATGCTCTTATTGCAGCTTTATTCACCAATATTGATAGTTATGAGGAAGAGGTAAAGCTTCAACATATTTTTTCTGCTTGTTTATTTTGGAGAGATTGTTGCTGTTAAAACGCTTTGTTTTTTTGGTTCAGGAACTGGCTTTTCACGAAGATGAAATGGCTCGTAATAAGCAGGTCGGATACCATGGATAATGCTGTTATATACCTTTTTCACTGTTGCTGGAGCTATTTTCTTAAAATATATTTACTCACCTTGTTATGGCTTTTGTGTAGATTCAAGCATCTATAGCTCAAATATCGCAGCGACAATCTGAGGCTCTTGTGAAAAGACGATCTTTGGGTAAAGAGGCAGCAGTCTTAATGAGATCACCGCGTATTGCTAGTAGCTCCAGAAGGAGACGGAACTGCAGAAACATGGAACAACAAAACGCATCAGAAGCCCATGACGATGATAATAATGATGATAATAACAACAGAGGAGGAGACAAAGATTCGTCTTCAGATGAGCGTGGTACAGAAGTCCGGCAGAAGAAACGTAGAAAACGGTCTACAAGTCGTTCAACACAACACCCTTCTTCTTCAGGTGCAAACAAAAACAATGGTAACTGCGCAGATAATGACACAGAAGTGTACAGAGACAGCAAAGGAATATCTCCCGGGCTTGTGTGGAATCCAGAGATACTGGCTTGGGGAAGAGGCGGGACAAGGAGTAACACAAGGCATGGGAATAGTACTTCAGGAGGTAGTAGTAAGAGTGTGAGGAATGCTCGTGTGAACAAGCTTGTTGAATATCTACGTAGCAGCATAGATGGATCTAGTGTTGAGGTACCAAAGAAAAGAAGCGATGATTCTCTTCTTTTTGATGACCTGTGTTTTAGATTGCAGTTAGTTTGGATTTTGATTAAACTTAAATCTATCTTTCTCTGCAGTTGGATATTCATGTCAAGCTTGTCTCGCTGGATACAAAATGTATACCAGACTTACCACAGCCATATCTCTGTTGCCGACCCACTTTACTTGTAAAACAGCTCCGTGAAGTGAGTACTCATCTCTTTCTATCTCTCTCTCTCTCTCTTAACATCAGACAAGTTGTCACAGTAGAAAGTGGTTATTTTTTCATACATACAAGGTCTGTGACATAGATGTGAAAGATCATCATTTTGATTCTGTAACAAAGGTGATTTCAATATCACATACGCTAATATATTTGTGAACTTTCAATGTTGAATAGTTCGTAGCACTTCAGATGCATTTGAAGACTGAAGAGGTTGAATTGTTGGTAACAAGAAGAGGAGGAGAAGATACGGCAATAGAGAATATTCCTGTAGTGACTTCAGCTTCAGCAGCAGCTTCCAAGGATGAGATGCAAAGTCTGGAAGACAATGAAACATTTTCAAGGCTCAAAGTCGATTTCATTTCAAGCCATGAACAACATTTGGTAGCGTCAATAATAATAATTTGTTTCTAAATGTCTTTCATTCTAACCTAAGTATGATTCAGCTTTCTGAGACTTTTTCCTTATTTGGTTTGTGCCTTCAGATCATAGCTTATCGGAAGAAGCAAACCGAGTGAAGAAACTTGGAGCCTAATGGACGTGCTGCGAACAATGTATAATATATAAACAGATGGATCAGGGCTTGTTTATCCGTTTGCTAGATTATATATCTCAGTTGGTTTTTAGTGTTAGGAAGTTTTTCATTTGTGACAGACTTTTTTCTTTGCGTATTCATTGTAGACGTTGCTTAGTATTTTCCGGAGCAAGTTTTTGTAAGGAAAACCTTTGTTTTTTTACTATATATCTCAGTCATGTCTCAGATCTCAGGAAGATTTTACTACTGCCTCATTTTACAATGGAGAAGAGGTGTGGTTGGTGCGGTTCAAGCGTTCTTGAACAGCAATATCTGCTGTTACTTAGTCTATTTACTTTTTAACAGCTACCTCATGTGAGAAGCCATCATCATTGTTCTCCTGCCGACTCTTCTAATCACTCTAAGCTTTGGTGACTTTGGTTTCGTCGTCTCCTTGTTTGACCTGTGTTTAATTGACATGGATTTTTCTTTGTTTAACTCAGTGTAGGTATAAAGCTAGAGAATTAAAGAAGAAATCAACTCCTGATATGGATCAGAACTTTACTTCTGAGGTAAGAATGGGTTGTTGAAGTTTGGCACTGGTCTGGCGTGAGGAACCATTGCCCTTCTCAGTTGTTTCAGAGCTCTCTCTTCCTCTACCTGAAAAAGTTTCAGGTAAAAGATACTTATTATCATTCTATTTACTTGGATACATATATATTTGGCAGCATATTTATTGGGATTTATTGTATTCTTATTATACCATTTTTGCGGCTTCAGTCTCTTCGCGGTATCTCTTGTACATCATCTCTTTCTCTTTGATCTGGAACCAAAGATGATAGAACAAGTTAGTTGAGAAATCAAAAAGTTCCTTTTGATTTGCTGAATGCTGATTGAGTTAGATAAGCTTACTTTACGGTCAAAGTCTACCCTTTCGATAGCCCGATGGTCCACATGGAGATTAAACTCTTGAATTTCTGTAAGAGGCCTTCTTACTTACTCCGGAACAGTAATGAGATCCCTGAGTCAGGTGAGAATTCACACAAATCATTTGCGAGTTCTTCGAAACTGTAGATCAAAAGACAGCAACAGTCACTTACTCTTTAATCACTGGTTGTGCTCTGAAGACTCTTCTTTGGCTTTTCTCTCTGAGTTCTAATCCTCTCATCCATTTCTTTCCGCATTTCCTGTTCGTGCCTAGCTAGACTCTCTAACTGGAACGGTTCTGGTTTTGTGCATTGCTTAGGCTCTGGTTTTGGTGGGACCTGAGTAGGAATGTGGACAATTGTCGATTTTTTTTTTTTTGCAACAAAAAACTGACTAAGGAGGAATGAAAAAGGGCTTTGGATGCATTCCACAGGATAGTCAGTTGTGTAGGTATATGGTGTTGCTTTGGGAATTCTGACCCTTTCATCCTCTATCTGCTTATTTATGAACTCTCTCACAGACTTCTTCTTTTCCTCAGCACCTCATTTCCTGGATTTGATAATGTCGTTATTGTAGCTACTCTTGAGCTGTGAGAGAGAGGGATTTTTTTCATCGTATTACGTACTTCGGTCCTAAGAAGCAAAGGGTTTGGTGTAGTGTTCCTTTGTAGAGGCTTTTCACGGCAAGAATCTGAGTTCAAAGAGAGCTGGCAAGGAGATGTTATGTTACTGTTAAGACACTGACATTTCAAAGAAGCAGAAATTTAAGACTTGTCAGAGTACCTTGTCAAATAGATCTATAACAGAATTTGGCCGTGAAATCCTCTCATCTGTCACGAAGTGTAACTCTTGAGGTATGGTTACATGCTTTTTTGTGTTGCAATATATTCCCGTCTCTCCTTTACTTCCGGATATCTGGAGTGGTTAAGAGATAATTCTGAACTAGTAGACCTAGTGACACGAATGAAGAACTTGAAACTTGAAAGGTAACATCATAGTAAACCACTTGGATATGTTACCTACCTTTTGGTTCAAAGGTCTTGCTCTGAATCTTGGCACCTTCTCGAGTTCCTCTTGCTCAATTTCATTTGAAGTTTTTGCATTAGAAGGACGAGCTCTCAGCATTGTTTGAAGCAAAGGGCTCTTTGGTTCAGTGAGATGAGGCATCCAGTCATTATGCTGTGGATGAAGAAGGTAAGAAAAGTAAGAATCAAGTGGTCACATGCTTTTCCTAGAAGTTTTCCTTGCTCTTGTAGTTGCTTGAAGAACTTCTGGTGATTGCATAACTTCTCTAGAGCTGCAAGAGATGTCTGGAATATTTCTCCTAGTTTTGGAATAAGACAACAGGAAACAAACAAATGCTCCAACCTTAGACATTTCCGTCGAGACTACTGAAGATGTCTCTGCATGCTGGCTAGCCTGTGCCATTGTTTCTAGATGGAACTCCTGCAACAGTAAGAATTAAGCCACATATTTTTTGGATCTCCTTCAGATGAAAGTGGTCTGATCAGCAGTGTGGTTTACCTGAAATTCTGGAGGATGTGGTGTACTTCTTTGTGGTGCGGGCAAAGCTGGAGCTGCTAAAATCTGTGTGAAACAGAGAGGAAGCGCATGCTTAGTTTTCAATTTTCTCATTTCTGTGCAGCTCTGTTGTTTCTGAAGTTACAGAGAAGAGAGACGTCGAGGGAAAGCCACACAGTACCTTCTTATTCAAAGGTTGCGCTTTAAACTTAAGCATCTTTGCCAACATCTCTTCCTCAAGCTGTGAAGTGCTTTTAAGTCTTACAGGACGAAGTCTCTGATCATAATGTTCTTTGAAATTATTTATGGTAAAGAGACTCCAGAAGTTACAGAGATGTATGAATCAGTCATTGATGTTTTGATCTGTTTAAGGCGCATAATAGTGTTTAAAGGATCAAATGCGTAGTCATCTCAGAAAAATCATACATCATCTTTAGGGTGCTCAAGGATCATATAATGCTGCAGGTGATACTACTAACTCAATGGATGAGGATCTTGGGTATGAAATGATAGAATCAATGGATTATTCTTATAAGAAGATGGTTTATGAAATCGGAGTCACAGATGCAAGAGATGAGTTGGAGGCTTATTAAAGGAAAAAGTGGAAAATCCTAAAAGTATTATAGGATCAGAATGGTCTGTGTTGTCTTGGTGGAGGTTAAACAGTTCTAAGTTTCCAGTTTTATCAGAAATAGCTAAAGATGTGCTAGCAATGCAAGTGTCCTATGTTGCATCTGAATGTGTTTTTAGCACTAGTGGTCGTATCGTAAAGCTACATAGGAGTTGTTTAACTCATTAAATGGTTGTGATGTCGATGTGCACAGAGCAGTAGTACAACTACTTGTTGATGTTGAATTGTTAGATAATCTTAAGGAAGGTAATTTCTTTTGTTATACTCTTTCTTCTCAGTTTTGAGTTTTAACATTCTGCTTTCTGTAACTATCTTTTAGAGTTTGATACTCGAGTTAACTTCGACTAGATGACTACTAACATGTGGATATAACGTAAACTTGATCTTTGTCACTTTGGTTTTAGTTTAATGTTGAAACAAATTCTGACGTTGTGTTTGTAAATTGTTGGTTCCTCTGCCTTTGTCCTGGATGTGGAATTTGGTGTTATGTTGTTATGATCTCATGATATTTGGTTGTTTGTTAACACACTTAGTATCTAATCTGCTTTGCTTTTAAAACAGGGACATGGTGAACTTTTTTTGTCAGGGACGTGGTGAAGTTAAATTTATCTTCTTTGGATGTTTCACTACTATTGTTTGTTATGAACTTCTTTAAGCTTCAATAAACCCTTTGAATCTGATTTTGGATGTTAGTACTTGGTATCTTAAGTCTTGCTTGACTCTTAACTGAATCTCTTGCTTGTTTTGCATATTTGATTATGTTTCACTTTGATTTATTTTTTTTAGTGTGGTTTTTATCATTATAAGAATGAAATTTGATACAACTTAGATGAAATTTTTTAACTTTTATTATAGGTATTTCAGGTATTTATACCGGTAGTTTGGTCAAATCGGGTAAAAGTACTCAAACCGAACCATATCTGCAAAGTATTGGGTATATTCTGGGTCTCCAATCAATTCTCCGAACCGGGACTCAAACCCGAAAAATACCAAACTGAATCTGACCAGATTTTTATGATATTTGAATAGTTTCTACTCTCTAGACCTCTAGTACTAAAAAAAAAACCGAAATCTGAAATACTTGAATCGAACCCGAACTGATACTTGAATGCCTAGGCCTGTTATATATTTGGGTAAAACATTATTCGTTTTTGGCTAACAAAAAAAAACAAAATTCTATGACTTACATCAATTTGATTAGAGTGTGACATTTTTTTTAGTCGTCCATAATATTTAAATTGTCTAAAAACCTTGAGAGAAATGCCATCTTTTTTTCTTTCTAGATACATGATTTAGAGTTCCCAAATAAGATGATGTTGTTTCTAAGAGACTAAGTGGATGATTGGTTGGACTGTAGCTGTAAATTAATTGTTGTAAGATTTTGGCTATATCTGTGTTAGTTGTAGCTGTAGGCTTTTTGCTGTAGAGTTTTGGCTATAAATATTTTGGATGCGGATGTATGATTTTGACTGTAACTTTTTAAAAATGAAATGAAAAAATGATTAGTAATTATTGTATAAATTATAAAAATATTATTTTTAATAGTTAAAATTACAATCAATAATACGAAAACTAATATTTTATGAATATTAGTAAAATATATAATTTTAAATTACAATATATATTGTAGAATTGATATAAACATTACAAATATCACTTTTAATATACATACACATAGTAATGACGAAATTTGTATGTATGCATAAAATATAATTCTATGTAATATGAATGGTGATGTGTATATATATCAATGTTGTTTTTAGCCTATTATTTTTATTATTATTTTGTACTAAAATATTTAATTATTTAATAGTTAGAAAATATATACGTCATATATCATAAAATAAGTTATTGTAGAAGAGAGAAAAATTAAAAGGCTGAATATTCTTTTCTAAAAATTTCTACAGCCAAAATAATAAGGCTTTAGAAAATATTGTTTTTACAAGTCAAAAAAGAATAAAAACAGATTATGGGCTGTAAGTTTTAAAAATGAACTTAAAGCATGATTGGTTCATTTTAGGGCTGTAGCAAAAATTTAAGGGTATAAATGTTTTCTACAATCCAACCAATCATGCCCTAAGCAAGATAAAATATCAAAAGCAACCTTTGTTATTCTAGAAGTATGATATGAATTAAGCTTCTGTCTTGAAATTCTTAGACCGACTAGGTGTACTTCCAACAGCAAATAGGGAATTTATTAGCAAAATACTCAAAAACTTTTTTTTTAAGTTTTTCACAAGTATTTGAAACATCAAAAAATTTCAAAATAGTCTAGGTATATACCGCAAATTCTAGACAGTAGAAAACAATATTCCTAACAAATTGTACCAAGTCAATAAAGTTGTTCGTAAAATAAAGTGTTTTGCCATTGTTGATGTGGTAAAGAAGTCACCATCTAACTTGAATCTCATCCATTCCCATACAATTGAGTTTACTATTCTTTACTGTTTTTAGTTTATTGGATTATTAGGATTTCGGAGACTCACCTATTTTATGTGCCCTATTACTTCTGATATTTTGGTGGAAAGAAAAAACAAAATAGAAGTAGAATAATCGAACTGTTCTCCTTACCTTGACATATGATGTTGTTTTAAGCACTAGAATAATTAAACAACAATACAAAAAATAAGTCCATCAAATATATAAGAAATTGTAAGACGCAAACCTAAGGTTCTCTTGCTTGAGCTTACGGCTATGATTATATCTCCAAAAAATGTATGGAGAAGCACTGTTTATGCACTATGACTCCAATAAGCAAAGGCTGCATCATTAGAGATTGGTGGGTTTGTTGAGTTAATTGAAATAATTAGACGATAAGAAAAAGATAACAATACTGCGATCTATAATTTTTTGTGAGATAATGAGTTTCATGAACTTGTTTATGTAGAGATTGCATTTTCGTAGTAAATGTTTGCCAAGATGTTGATATTTTTATATGGATGTTAACTTCCAGCTAGTGTCGGCTCTGTGAAATATGGGGTCCAATACAAAATAAATTTTTTTGATAGATTTTATAGAAAAAATATAAAACTTGAGGTCAAATCTTAAAATTTTAGAAAAATAGAGCCTATTTTGCAATAACAAATAAATCAAATTTAAAAATTGAGACAAAATCTGAAAATTTTAGAAAATAAGGCATGTTTTTTGCAATAACAATTGTTTTGAAGCCTAAATACTAAAAATCTTAAAAAACTTGGAAGTCCAATACCTATGTTTTTTAATAATCGTTGGCCGGCCGGACCTGTCTACCTATAGTAAAAAAAAAAAATCACATATCCAAAGGAAAATACGTCATTTGCATAAACTTATTATTTATTATTGAGAAGTTGCTCTGGTGCTTATCACTCCTGCCTGCCAGAACCTGAAAGCTTTCTAGAGGCACATCGAATCATACATCAATCTAGATATTTGTACATTGAATATGAAAATAATCTACTTCTATCATCACAACAACGAAGATCTTTTTTAATTTCCTTTCATCATCTTTTTCTATTTAAGCATAATAAAATAAATAAACAAAAACCGTAGTGTAACCACTAACCAGTGTTCCTTACGTGCATTAATCCATTGCTTGGTTATACAAAAATAATAATATTCATCCTCAATTTTTGATAACATGCATCTAAGTCATCATCAACATAAATTTAATCTAATTAGAAAATTATGAAAAGGATTTATGTTCTATATAAAACTAACACTTAAACGACAAGAAAATGTACATTTAATAATGGTAGGAAAAAAAATTGCTTCTCACAAAAGTCAGATAAAAAGAAAATTCACATGAACATATTACGAGTATAAAAATATCATTTACATTGATATTTGGCCAACTACACTTAAGAAATCAATTATATGATTGTACTTTGTCAAGGTGTTCATGAAAATAACTCTCTAGCTATTTACAAATATAGTGAAAACTTGCATATAAAAATCGTGACGGCTAACCCCTAATAGTAGCTAATGGTAGACTGAGTACGAGTACCTATAATTATCCTCCAGCTAGGTTCATTCTTGAGTTTTAATTCATTAAAAAAAAAAGCTAGGTTCATTCGATTTGTATTGTTTTCATTGGTATATACGTATACGATGAACCAACCATCAACAAAACCAAAAGAAAAACTCATGAAATAAACATGATCACTAATACTAAATACTATATACAATCCTCCTTATATATCAAATTAGTCTAAGAGAGTTTGTCTCATTTTGTCATCAGTTCGAAGTCTAGAAATGGATAAACACACGACTAAATTAGTCGTGCTTTCACTTCTACTACTTCTCGTGACCTCCGATCACACTAGGCTAATGATTCAGGTTCACTCATACGTACCATTTTGTGCCTACACATACGATTATTTTGCTTATTGTCTAGACTTTCTCACGGGCTATTACTACAAACCCGGTAAAAAATGTTGTATCCATATCGTAAAACTCAACATAATTGCGAAACACAAAAAAGAGAATCCTAGGCTTTTGTGTAATTGTGTTGAGATGATGACCAGAGGTTATACGCCTCCAATTTTGGCTGATAAGATCCAACAGCTTCCTCTTCTTTGCAACACACATCTCAGTTTCCCTATCTCCTCTAGCATGGATTGCTCCACGTAAGTATTTAATCATTAATTTTTATTTCAAATGGAAATATTCGATTGCTTATAGTTATAGGTTTGAAGATTAGTTTTAATTCGGAATCAAGATGATCTGGTTGTATCAAAATTATATAAGCATATAATAAAATTCTGAAATCAGCTAAATGTGTAGATCGATGTGTATAGTATACTATAGTCGTCAAAACTATTACTAATATAGCATGTATTGTTTGGTGATTTTTAATGCAGGGTTTAAGTCTTGAGGGGTTGTGTGGGCCAATTTGTTTTGGACTTTTGGTTGGTTCAAGAAAAATGGAACTATATGTGTATGGGTATTCAATTTTGGTCTTGTTTAAATTGATTTTGGTTCAGTTTTTTTCATCTTCTAAGTATTTTGGTTTAGAGAATGTGGCAGCCAAATTAAAAAAATCGTTGAATCTAGTCTTTGGTGTCATTGTAGTTTGGTTTGGAATTCAGTTTTCTTACAAAATATACTTCCATTTTATTAGATGTTTGGCTAAAACTTCAAAGATTAAGAAATAATAAATGTTATATCATTTATAAAAATTTAACCAATAAAAAATACTGCAAAAACTTAGACATTAATTAAACAGAAGAACAAATTTTCTTAACTTGTATATATAAAATAAAAGCAATTGTCCTTGAGAAGTAAATTACCGGTTGGAAGAAGAAACCAAATGCCTTTGTATCCATGCGAGCCATGTAACCAATATAGAGATCCACACTACACTTGTTAATACATCAAACCTGTTAAGCCTAAAATAATACTATACATTAAAATAGTGCATGTATATATATTCTATATATATATATAAAATTAATAATGTTCGAAGATAATGCCATATCTATATTTAGTGTTATATGTTACACGTACAAGCATTTCTGTGTTGCAAACTTTACTCTAGAACTATCCTGAGTCCATGTCTCCATGGCTATTATTAATTACTTAGGTTTTAGGTCGAGAATATAAAGATAACACATGCATGTAAATATGCCTATCCTAAAAAAAATATCAAATTATTCAGAAACAATGACTCGATATCCTTAAGAAAACGCCAGCTCCTGCTCAATTGCATGAACCTATCTTATTGTTCTCTTGCCACGAATTCTTCCCTTTTGTCTCCTTCTTATAACTCTACACATCATCATTTCTTTTTCATTAAATAACTTATAGGACGAATCATTTTTTCTTTGTGAATTTAAATTAACACTCACATATACCAGTTAACTACTAATCATTTAAATTAATAATGTCAATATTGTTTCAGATTTTATTTTAAAAGTATACTCATGAACTAAAACTAATCAAAATGTGGACAAATTAATATCAATATGTTCCCTTTTCCTTTATCATAGTTTAATTTCAATTGTATATTAAACTTTTTTTTTTTTTTTTGACGTATTAAACTTTGTATTTATAAGGAAAATATCTATAGAAGCGAATATAACCACGTCCACCATAGAAGCACTGCAATATTTAGCATTCTAAAACATCTTGATATTTTTTTGTCAACGTCTTAATATCTTTTTCTCTCTAATCATTCTATATCATATATATGGATATATACACTAACGCGTATATATAGAGACAATTAGGCATCTATCATTTTATCCCACACTTATCTCTTCCAATCTCTCTCTCTCAAAACCAAAACTAAAAATAAAGAAAAGTTATAAAAAAAAACTATATCTCTCTTCTTTTGCCACGTAGACATGGACGTCGAACATCACAAATCCGGCCACATCAGTAGACCAACGGTGGATATTCCACCGAGAAAGCTTCTTTCCTCCGCCAAGTCTCCGTCGTCAGTTTCAAGTCCCCTTCGAGACTATAAAGATCAGAAAGACTATTGTTACGACTCCGACTCCGAAGATCCTTACGCCGGAGACCATTTTCGGATGTATGAATTCAAGATCCGACGGTGCACACGTAGCCGTAGCCACGATTGGACCGACTGTCCTTTCTCGCATCCCGGTGAAAAGGCTCGTCGTCGTGACCCTCGCCGGTATCATTACACCGGCGAGGTATGCCCTGAGTTTAGCCGCCACGGTGGCGATTGCAGCCGTGGCGACGAATGCGGATTTGCTCACGGTGTTTTCGAGTGTTGGCTCCACCCGAGTCGGTACCGTACCGAGGCTTGTAAAGACGGTAAGCATTGTAAGAGGAAAGTCTGTTTCTTTGCTCATTCTCCACGTCAGCTGAGAGTTCTTCCACCGTCGCCGGAGAATCTCGTTTCCGGTGGTTGCGGTGGATCACCGTCGTCGCCGGCGTCCGTGTTAAGTAGTAAAAATAATAGGTGCTGCTTGTTTTGTACTCACTCTCCGACGAACACTCTCTTGGGTTTATCACGATCACCGTCGTCATCTCCGCCTCTGTCTCCGGCTGATAAAGCCGCTGCATTTTCACGGCTGAGCCGCCGTCGCACGGCCGTACTAAACGAACTGATTAGTTCTTTAGATTCCTTTAGTCTCACGGAAGCACTCGCGGCCTCTTCGTCTTCTCCTGTTACCATGCCCGTTTCCACTGCGGCGATGATCGCTTCATCGAGTCTAAGCAACCACCACCACCACCGTCTTCCACCGTGGCTAGATGTCGGAGAAAGAGATCTCCAATTACAACAGAGTAGTCCTCCACAATTTGCTCTTTCCCTTTCTTCTACTCCAAGTTACCTCCACGGCCAGCTTCAACCGCCGCCGTCAAGCTTCTTTAGCGATGAATTCACACCACGCGGTGGCCGGTTAAGCGATTTCACGGCGGCTGCAGCTGCGGCGGCCAAAGCTAGGGATAAGAATAGCTTTGAAGTCGGTTCTAGTGGCGATCTTGATCTCGGATGGGTGAACGATCTTTTGACATGAACAATGTGACGTTAACGGTGAATAATCGGAGATATTTTACAGCGGCAAGTAATACACGGCGGTGGAATTCCGTCGTGAAGCCATTGTTTATTGAAAATTGTTAATTTTTACGATTTTTTCCATGGAGCTATAATTAAGAGTCTGTACTATGTCGTGCTTTAAAAAATATATATAATCATGTAAGTTATTTTTGTTAAATAAGAGTCTATAACTTGTATTGTTATATTGATCTCTTGGAACTTGTAATAACTAGTACTATATTGTGATCGAATTCCTATGTAATGTTTACTTCAAAATATTCTGTTTAATAATAAAAAAGATGTTTTAGTTAATGTCCACGATCATTATTATAAGCAAAGTGATTCTTACATTGATTTATATCGGTTCATCAAAGAATTGTATATGCTCTATATTTATGCTATTAAGCCAGTAGTGAATCATTAACATTGTAATTGTAACATTATATGTCCCTCGAGTCGAGTATATATAGTGGAGACTGGAGAGTATAATGTTATTGTTAGGTTTCGTTGGTTAATTGTGGAGCAAATATACTATTCCTATCACTTACTACAAGATCTTTAAATCTACGATTTTGTGACAATACAACTAAAAAATCCGATATACTAAAATAATCTCCCCACTCCGAGAGCACTTGTATCCTAGGAGACATACTTATCTGAACGACAGCTGTACATGCATAGAGGTGTACATTACTCATATAGATACGGTATAATATACAATTATACATGTGTATATAAGTACATGTGATCATGTGCATGTATATACATAAATAGATAAACATAATAGCAAATATACAAAAGTAAAGTATGTCGGGGTGTGGAGGTGTCACGTGGACCGCATGACCCACCAATACTTAGTTCCCATTCTCATCTCGATGGGTCGATAAGTCCTTTAGATGTCTCCAAGGAGACATATTTCACCATCATGCATTATATGTATTTACATATGTTTTTGGAGAAAGGACCGTGGGCCAATTACACCATAAAATGGACCCTAATAAGCTTGGATTTAAATGTTATGGTACATGGAACTCTAACCATTTACTTCTTGTTGAAGAGTTTGGTGCATGCATGTACCTTTAACTTCCCATCTTTTTTCTTGACTTTTTTCTTTTGGAGTGTTCATTCTTTGAGATGTGAGAGTACTGAGGACCACGTACGTACGGTAGATGAATAATACAATGCGAAGAGATCAGTAAGAAGAAAAACTAAAAACAAACGAAAATTTATCTCTTATCTTCTTGAAGTGTCTAATTTTCTGACTATCCCCTGGCATTAGTCGGAAGGTATTCCAAACTCGGATCAGGCAGTGTGGTGGCCCAATTCTACCTGGATCGGGAGAAGTCCACTCTGTAGCACCTCGGTCCGTTCCTACCGAGGCCGACCGGATCAGCCGATAGGGTTTATCAAAAAAAAAAAAGTGTCTAATTTTCAAGGAGTTTTTCAGCTTTGGATAAATCCTATGCATTAGCTTCATGGTTATTGTGGTGGTTTTTGAAAACCCATCAAACCCTGTTTATCCCATATATTCTCCAGTTGACTTTCTCTGCTTGTTCGAAAAAAATCGATTATTAGCTTCACAATCAGCGCAGCTTTACGTTTGGAATCTCTACCTTGTGGAGCTTTAGAAACTTCTTCTGTGATAGTTAAGAAATTTATCGGTCCAAAAACATCTTGCAATAATCTATCATGATTATAAGATCGTTGTGTTTGAGAAGAAGTAATTTCCAATATGTATATATCAACATTAAGAGATTTTGCCTGAATATAACCATTTATTACGTTGCAATATTAAGAGATTTTGAACGGCACCGTCTTCAATTATAAATTTTGATTTTCTGAAAATATTAACAAGGGAATGGAAAACATTACCTGCGAATTTAGATGTGTAGCTTGTACTTGCTGACATATAAAATAGAAGTGTCATGAATATATTTTCACGATTCTTCCACCTAATTCGTGCCACATTGCAATGCAAACAATTAATATTATTGTCTCTTGTAAAATTTGGTTATTTGCTAGAAAAAATATGGTTTTCAAAACTCCACCTAATTAACAGATACATTTAAACATATGTTAATATATTGAATCTTTTGTTAAGTTTCCCCATTTATATTAATCTTTTTTTTTTGTTCAATTATATTAATCTTCTTGTTTGTTTTTCTCTTCTTATAAAGTCCATTGACTCTTTTATCGGGGATCAGCGATTGTAAACCTGTATTTGCCTGAGGAAAAAAAAAAAAAAAAACCTGTATTTGCCTGTTTTCTTCTTGCGTCACTAAGACCATCTTTATCAATGGGTTCTTAAGAAAATCTTAAGATGATCTTAGCATTTAATTGATTAAAATTAGTTTTCAAATGCATTAAATCTAAGATGGGTTCCTTAGCTAAGGAACAAAAAAAAAGTTAAGAGCCAAAATTTGTAAATTTAATACTAAAAATTCTTAAGAACCAAAATTAAGAGACCATTGATAATGGTGCTCTAATCTTTTGTTTAGTCGACTTAAAAACTGGCATATATACATATAAACTTGTATTTCTGTATATAAACTATAAGAAGAAAGCTTAATACATAGACCAGATATTATTTTTTTGGTGAGAATACATAGACCATATATAGTACATATACTTTACTATTTACATTTAGATTTAGTTTTTGTATTGAAAATTTTAATAATATAAATTTTAAAGTAATTGCATTAAATAGTCATATCTTGTTAAGTATCTAAAAAATCAATGAATACACAAATCATAATTATGTTGATTCATTTACCTCGTGTGTTCAATCAAACTTTTATAAATGATTGAACCAATTTGGGATTGTTCCTTTGATTGAAAATTGGAACTTATATTTCTCTTTCACATATCTATTTTTTTCCTAATCCTGTTAGTTTTGTTATTAAAAAATGAGGAAACAACTTAGTCCAAATGCTTAGAAATCCTTGGTAGAGCTTCTTTGCAATTACGTGTTGAACCTGGTAAAGAACAGATAAGTCTCTTATCAGTTTAATAAAAATAAAAATAAAATTAAACATAGTCCCTCGGATCATGTAGGTGTTTTTTTTACGTATTGTAAACGTATAGAACTTATATCAGAGGAGACGATCTTTGATGGCAGAGCAAAAAGGGTTTAGAGAATTTTTAGCGACTTGGAAATTGCCAATAATTTCATTTTTTTTGCTCAATGAAGAATTGTCATTTTGAATTATTTTGAATAAATGTCGAAAAAAATCTTGTAGACTATACATAGACGAGGGGAGACCAGTTTGGTTCAATCATTTACATCTTGCAAATCTTTATGGAGTTTTTCATAGTGATATTGAGGGAAGAGTTACGATGAAGTATTTTATCTTGTGACATAATTTTTTAATGCGATTAAAACATTATTTTGTTTAATGAGCAAAAAATGTACAACTTAGTTACAATTGTGCCACCACAGTTTCTTTTCCAATTTTGGTTATATATTTGGTTTTTTTTTAACACTAAAATATCAATTCTATATCTGGTTATCTATAAACCCTAGCTACTTCATATACTTAGATATGAGAAACTTCATTAGGTAAACAAACAACGAACCAACTATCGACCCAATAATCGAAGTAACACACTTGATCACAATATTGAACCCTCTGCCACCGTCACAGCTTGGAGGCGGTGAGCTTAAAGACATAGGAGGTGGTGGGCTTGTGAAAAGGCTAGGCGGTGGCAGTGGCGATGAGCTAGTAGGGGGTGGAGGCAGGAAGCTCGTCGAGAATGTAATGCATGTTAGCTCATTCTCATCATAATCAAAGTATATTTATTATCACCATCAGCCAGTATGAATCCTGCAAGAGAGGTAAATTTAGAATCTGTTATCTTCCGCTTTTTTGTACCAGATTTTTGACAGTAATACGCAACATTAACACATTCAAACTAAGTTATCTTATATCTCCATATGTTGCTCGAAACCAAGGTAAACCTTATCTATGTCTATTACTGAATAGACCATCCATCTAATTGCAACAAATTTTTTCGTAACGAAGTGAATGCGAGAACTTACAGGAGGAGTATAAGCAGGAAGAAGAACTTGAGACTATGCAACAAGGACATATCCGTTTTGCATAGGACAAGCTATCCCATTGTAGAGAGTAACAAGTCACAACATCAATTCTCAATTTTTCTTTGGTGTGTGTACCTTTTTCAATAACAAGAATAACAAAAATATAAGATATGATTGGTTGCACATTATAAAATAAATAAATAAAACAACGTCGTTTGATTAAAAACTAAGACTAAAAAATAATATTTGAATCCCTTATCTTTCGGACAATCCATAAGGTAAGTTAATTTTTTTACCCATCAAGGTAAGTTGATTTTTTTAAAACCTGAAACATACATAGTTATATTCTTTACTATAAATTATCCAAATTAAAAGATTAGGGCTAAACCACTATAGTATAATTGAGTTATTCTCTCATCAGTGGCAGAGGTAGGAAGAGATGAGGGGTCATGTGACCCCTATAAATTTTATATATTAGTTAATTTTAGTGTAAATTTGAGGAAATATTTGGTTAAAATTAGTGTTTGACCCTAATAAACTTTTGTTCTAACTTCCAAATAACCCCTTTTATTCATTGAATTTTTCAATTTATTGTTCATCATTATATTTTTATTATTATTATGATCCCTATAAAACTTATCTCTAGATCCACCACTATATTTCATCCTATTTGTTTTAGATTTTCTGTAGAAATTAGTTTTTGAAATCGTTTCTCCAAAAATCTTCGATGCATCGGTATCATTCACCACTGTTACAAGGACAATGTTTTTTTATGTCACCATTAGCGTATCCAAGAGGTAAGAAGACCGAGTTTTTTATTAATCAAACGATATCGTGTTGTGTAGTTTAACATAGAATCTCTTAACATAAATTTAATTTTAGTAATTTTTATTATTATTCAACTAAATGACATGATTTATTTGAAAAAATCAACAAAAAAATTAGCAATTAAATAGAAAATCAATAAAAATTAACGATTAAAAAAAAATCTATAAATATTAACATATTATTTTACCTGAAACAAAGTTAAGAATATTTTTAACATTTTTACAGTTATTTTTTATATACATTTTGTCCGTTTTAATTTCCTCTACGTCTCTTTGCTCGAGGCTTTGTGCCCTTTCATTATCATGTCAACGCTCAATTAAAATTTTACAATCGTCTTCTTTCTATCTCTATAATGAATGAGTTGGTGGTGGTTTAGAACCAAAAAAATTGTTCAAAACCCTCGAATTTCAGATGTAGACTTATTTGATAGACTTGAAAATACTTAATAACAATTAGTTTTAGTTTCGGAAAAATACTAAAAAAAAATCCTCAACTGTAAAAATATGCCAAGAAAATCCCGAAGTTAGTCTCGGATAAAATAATACACTAATTTCTATTCACTTTTTATGATCATTAATTTTATTCCAATTTCTATTTTAATCGTTAATTTTTGTTGATTTTCCCAAATAAATCACGTCGTTAAGTTGACTAACAAAACTAATTAACTTAGTGAATATTCTATATTTAACTACACTTTTTTTTGTCATCTATATTTAACTACACAAAACAACGTCTTTTAATTAAAAAATAAATTTAAAAACAATATTTAAACCCCTTACTGACAATCCATAAATACATTACCACCAAGCTAAGTTGATTATTTTAAAACCACATACATACATATTTATATTCTTAATAATTCTCCAAATTAAAAGATTAGGACTAAATCACTATAGTATAGTTGAGTTACTCTCACATCCTATTTGCTTTAGATTCTTGTTAGAAATTATTTTTTAAAATCGTTTCTCCGAAAAATCTCCGATGCGTCGGTATCCTTCGCCACAATTACAATGCCAATGTTTTTTCATGTCACCATATCTATGAATTTAACAGAGAATTTCAACGAAAATTTAACTGCTAATTTATTCCATTAATCAACTTAACGATGTGATTTATTTGGTAAAATTAACAAAAATTAATGATTAAAATAGAAAATTAATACAAATTAACGATAAAGTTTTTAAAAAATTATAAAAATTAACACATTATTTTATCAGAAGCAAAATTAAGATTTTTTTTTGCATTTTTTTCTATTTTTTTCCTAATTAAATTTTATGTAATATATAACATTATTATTAATTAAGCCAAAAGATAACGAACGAAAGTGATCTGTTCTATCTTCTTCCTCTACGTCTCTCTGCTCGAAGCTTGTGCCCTTTCATTATTATTATGTCAAAGCTCAATTGAAGATTTCTACAATCATCTTCTCCATAACAAAAAAAAAACCCTAATTTACAGAGAAAAGATGTGGGGAATTGGAGGAAATTACTATTGGCGAAAGAAGAACAACATCAATGAAGGAAGTCAAAGCGAAGCGATCGTTGTGGTATTCGCTTGGATGTCTAGCGAAGAACGCAATCTCAAGAACCATGTCGATCTCTATTCTTCTCTTCTTTGGGATTCTCTCGTTTGCCATCCTCAATTTCTCAACATGTTTGTTTCATCTCTCTGTTTTCAATTTCTCTGTTTCATAATTGAATTCTCTTTTGATTTAATCTTGATTTCATTTTATGAATAGGTTTCTTCCAGACAAAGCTGCAGATTTAGCTTCTAATGTTGTGTCTGAACTTGTGAAGGTAATAAAGGTTGAAACTTTATTGTTTTGTTGATCTCATAAGCTTATTAGTTCTGGTTTTGATGATGTTCTTAGGAGCTTAAAGCAAAGCCAATTCCTTTAGTGTTCGCTTCTTTCTCTGGTGGTCCTAATGCTTGTATGTATAAAGTTCTCCAAGTAAGGTTTTGTTTTCACCATTTTTCTGAATTTGTTCTCTCTTTTGAGTATAAGTGTTTAACCAAGATCCTTCTTTATGTATATATATGCAGATACTTGAAGGAACATGCGAAACCGGATTAAATCCGGTATGCGATTGTTGTTTTCATTCTTGTTAATGATTAGACTTGTCTTTATCTTGATGATTCTTAGGTTAATGGGTTTTTGGTTTATCTCTGTGTGTATTCAGGATGATTGTAGATTGGTTAGAAACTGCATCTCAGGGTTTATCTATGACTCGTGTCCTGTGGATTTTACTAGCGACTTGGGAGCTCGATTAGCGGTTCATCCAACTACGCTTAAAATGTCTAATCCACCTAGACCGTTTGTTTGGGCAGCGAATGGTATTGCTTCGAGTCTCGATTATGTTTTCCTCAACAGGTTTGAATCACAGCGAGCCGAGTACTGGCAGACTCTTTACTCTACTATAGTAAGAGCCTTATTTACATATTATGAAATGGTAAAAAAAAAGTCTCCGACTTTCATTTCGGATTTGACCTCTTATCGCATTGCATTTTTTTTACGTTCTTTTGGTGCAGATCATGAGAGTACCTTATCTCATTCTATGCTCTGAAAATGATGACCTTGCTCCTTATCAAACTATACACAATTTCGCTACACGTCTCCAAGAATTAGGAGGAAATGTAAAACTTGTAAAATGGAATGATTCTCCTCATTGTGGTTAGTATATACTTGACACTTAGTGATGTTTCTTTCTCTAAAATAAGTTCTTGATGATCAGAATATTAATTCATACATAATGCTTTCAGGTCATTATCGTTATAACCAGGTCGACTATAAAGCTGCTGTATCCGAGTTCTTGTCAAAAGCAGCGTCCGTTTATTTGCAGAAGACGAGAAGTCTTGACAGAGAAGCTATGAAAGAAACTCAATGTGATGATGAGATAACAGGGCCAATTCAAAGCTTGGGGCAATCAACCTCTGGTGTTAACAGAAGCTTCAACGGAACTCCACTTGTCACAACCGATCATTTCTTTGTGCCTACCACTGTAGGTTACTACGTGGGCAGAGATGGTGGATATGTGCAAGATGAACACAAACAAGACTTGATTCGTTTGTCCAATACTCAAACCGATGACTCCGTTAAGCCCAATGGAGTTCTAGGCCAAATCTTGTTTGATGTTTATATCCCCAAGAATGTCGAGGATTGGGATATAAAGTTATCGGAAACCGGACGGTCCAGGCGGAGACCGGGGAAGAGGTTTATACGTAGATCGAGATTGTAACATCCGAGTTATATGTAAGTACCCATTTGTTTTCTTGAGATACTGTTGCAGAGGTATTCCATTTGGTTTTCCCTCGCAGAGATCTAATAAATTAATAAATAAGATCTATTTTGCGGACAAGGCAATGTTTTTTCAAAGACTACTTCTCAATATCTGCAAAATCCAGTAAAGTAGTCTTATATACAAATACAACTGTTTTTTTTTTGGTCCATTTCTTTCGTTAATACCCGCGACTTGGACTGCATTTACCATTGAGATCAGAATAGTCACAAACGTCACGGAAATGTAAAAATTTGAAAGGAAATAAAAATGTTTTTAGTTGTCTTTGCAGTTTCTGGTATAACCAGACGATGATGATAATCTTGACTGTGATTGGAAAAACTCGAATGGAGTTCCAGGGCCAAATGAGCGTCGTGTTGCGTTTGGAGAATCTGATAGCAATGGCTCATAGACCGGGCTTCTGTTTTTGGGCTGAGTGATGGATAATGGAGACAAGTCCTTCTCAATGGTCCTTGGTTGCGGTTCAATATTTCCTAGAGTCAGTATTGGACCACCCATTCGTTCAGCTTGTTGGAGTATATTGATTTTGCTGGGTCTGTATGTGTAGCGGAAGTACTTCAATGCGAATATAGGACCCATGCCTGCCCCAACTATGAGCTGCACAAGAGAAAGAAACAAAGTATTGTTCTTAATTGGTGTTTGTTTATGGGAAGACTTATAGGCAGATGATAAGAGATGAGTTTTTGATACTCACAAACATTGTTATCCAGTAAGAAGGTTGAGAACAGAGGCGGAACATGATGGTGTACATTCCAGATGACGGTATTGCGCTGAAGAGAAAGTTGATTGCATAGAAAGCGACCAGATTTCCCCAAATGGAAAGGTGTTGCAACACCGTAAAGGAACTGCAATGCACATCAAGAAAGAAATAGAAAAAGAAAGAGACAATAAGCACTAAGCACATCTAAATGGAATGTATGAGTCTAAATGTGTGCGCTAGGAATAGAAGCTGTACTTGGTTTCTTGAGCCACAACAAAAGCTTGAAGCCATATACATCCAGAAAGAGCTACCATTCCAAGCTCCTCCATTTCACTTTTCTCGTAAGCATATGCGTGTATGGTAATTACAAATACAACAATTGCCTGCAAATACATCCCAGAATCCAGATTTATACAAGGGAACATGAACAAAAAGCAATGAAGAAGATAAAAAGTAACTATAAGCATTTCAACTTTATTAATTGGTGTGTGGAGTTTGCATAGTATATTTGTACTTTATTAATTGGTGGATGTAGTGAAGAAAATGAACTCAATTGAGTAGATTTGAGATGACAGTACTCACGTGAAAAAGGGATCGGCCAAACCATCCCGCAAATGTGCTTGGGTTTAGAAGCCTGAGTAGTTCAAAAAACAGATGGAATTAACGAATATTTATGAACGTATGAACAGTTTTCAGATTTTGTAAAACCAGATTTAGACACAATTAATCAAGCATACCTTCCAGCTTGGCAGTAGAACAAAATTTGAGGGTGTTGCATCACTGATGCTTCACTAAGATCTTTATCAATTACGCTAACAAGAACAGGAATACTGGTGTAGAAAACGTTATAAGCCATCAGGCTAACCGAATTGAAAAGACTGGTTCCAGAAACGCCTGAAATAAACGAGAAGCTACGAAGATTCTGTTGTCAGTATTTCATGAACGACCTGGATGGATGATACCTACTGAGAACATATCTGAGATAATAAACTTACAAAATCTGGATGAAGCATATCAACAAAGATTTGTAGAAGGAATACTGGGACAAAAATGCTGTCCGGTTATATGAATACCTCCCATGAACAAGAATCAGTCTTTTCAGAAACCTGAATCCTGCAATCAAAGAGTAGTCCATCAAGAACCAATCAGAAACTGTTTTAAGTGGCTAAAACAATTTATCCATGCAACAAAATCCAGAAGCATGGATATGGAGGTATATGGAAAATATGTGCATGATATGTATCTTCAAGTTAATATTAAGGAAAAAAATTCTTGCTAATGGTCTTACTTCCAATGCTATAATCTGCAGCTCTTGCTGCCTGCAGCCCTTCTCTTCCGCTGATGCCGACCCCGATATCAGCTTGCTGTATCATTCTTACATCATTCCCACCGTCACCAATTGCAAGCGTTCGATAATCACAGGATTTTAAGATTTCAACTAACTGTAAAGTCGAGAAAAAAGTTCAACCAAAATAGAAAATAAGATGAGCACTGCCACTTGGTACCAGGAAATATTGAATACTTATAGCACCTAACGTTGGGTAGGGTACCTGGGCTTTCTGTGAAGGTGTGACGCGACAACATATGGCTGTCCTAGAAAGTATAGCTAATTCAACAAAATCCTTGCGATGGTGTTTCAGAGCAATTTCTAGAGCCCAGCCATCAATAACAAATGCCACGTCCTGTACGACCCATAAAATTATTCTTTGATACAGGTGATAGGAAATTGTTCCAAGGATGTTAAGTTCAAGAATTTAGCTGAGATGAACCTTAGGTTCTGAAGCTGTAATCCGCATTGTAAGCAAAACCCTCTCCAAACTTCGAGAAACATCTTCTTCAGTTTTTCCATCAATCATCAGAAGTTGACCTTTAGGCTCTGAGATAAACATGATAATGATAGAAAAGCATGATAAGTAGCAATAAGCAAAGCTTTCTAACACAAATAACAAAGAGGAAAATGATCCCAACTTACCTGGAGAGATAAAATTACAGGAAAGAGCAATCTGTATAGCTGTATTCTGCTTATCTCCTGTCAGCATCCAAAAGTTTATCCCTGCTTTTCTAAGTGTCTCGATTGTCTCTGGTACACCATCCTATATAAATAAGGCAAAAATATATATGAGTAGGATGCTACATTATATTACATTGTGAACCTCACTATGTCGTGGACATTAAAATTTTCTCACCTGCAACCGGTCCTCTATTGCAGTGACCCCTAGAATATAAAGATCATGTTCTAATCTTTGACAGACCTCAGCAATTCTCCACTGTGACATGAAAAAACATCATTTTGAGGCAATCAAGTGCATCGACTTAGCCAGTCATGCTGTAGGTCCAAACTAATCATACTTCATAATCGCTTATAGTGAGCAACAGAAAAAGAGAATTGTTTCAATTACCTCCCTATCAACCAGAAGACTACTAGCCTCCTTAAACTTCACTGACCACTCTAGATACTCATTCTCTTCCAGTTCACGCCAAGCCAAACACAATGTTCGGAGCCCCAGCTGGGAATAGTGTTCTACGGCGTCACCAATAGTTCGGGTTTGCTGACCTATAAGCATAGTGGAGAATAAACAGCAATCAGCTCTGAGAACATTCAGTTGCATGCTACTTACTCGTCTCATATAGATAAGAGATACGTCAACTTACCAGCACATGCGTACGGAAGGATTGCTTCATCTGCACCTTTTGACAGAAGTATAATTTTCCCATTCTGACAATCTTTCACTACCACTGACATTCTTTTTCGATCTGAAGTGAATTCAAGAATCTCCAGTACCTCATAGCGAATTATCGAACCATTAAATCTGATTTCTGCATTTAATAAAGAGGAGGGAAAAACAAATGACAACTACTTTTTAGGTACATATTCCATGGAGAACAAAACTGAAAGCAGATGACTATTACCTAGAAGATTGGCATTTTTCCCAACAAAGACCATATGCAACTTTGCAGCAGCAATTACAAGAGCGTCTTCATCCTGAGATTGCGCCTTGTAAACAATATCTCTAGCTTTGCTATCAGATGGAAACCCAGAAAATCATAACTAAATGAAGTTCCTCAACAAACGGAATAAATTTGCAGAACTTAAATACGATCTATGAAGTTTTTTTCCAAAAACAGATATTGTGAAGATTTCAAGAAGTTAAAATTTACCTCTGCACAGGTATAACTGTGTTGCAGATGGCCATAACTGTAAGAAATCGGATAACATCTGTAGAGCCACTGGTGATGGCATTAAGAAGTTGTGCATCTGATCAGAAAGATAAATCAAGATAAGTAAGAAAGAATACCCCTTTGATGCATACTCGCTGATGTACAATACATGCTTCAAACAATGTATAAAATAATATGATCGACACAAATTGGGAAAGCATAAAACTTTTAAAGTCTGAAACCTTTCAAAGCATCTCCATTCTCATTCCCATAAAATATGCCACCAATACAGCATCTTCTAAATATCATCTTGTTGTCTGTCAGGGTCCCAGTTTTGTCGGTCAAAATGTACTCTACTTGCCCAAGGTCCTCGCTTATTGCTGTGCTGCCATGCACAAAAAGCCACATAATGCAACAAAAAATCATGAAACTAACGTGTTCAAAGCAGGTGAATCTGAGGTAGTCTGCCTCTATCCTGAACTTACTTTGCTGCATAAGATGCTGTACCAGTCTCTTGATCTATCATCTCCACATCCCATTCTATAAATTTTGCATAAAGACCCTTAACCAGATCTAGAGACACCTGCCACATTACATCAACCAGATGCTTAGCAGAAACAGGTATGCTAATTTTATCATAATTTCGTTTATCTTCAAGAATGAAGTCAATGCTGTTCCATAAAAAGATGGTAATTAAGCCCCGATTTTCAATCCAGTATCTCTTTCACATGCCAAGAAGTCGGTTAATGCATTCTATATGTCACTCCAGAGCTAGCAAGGGAGCTACCAGAATTTCATAGCAAGGAAGTTTAAACTACCTTAATGGAGATGGGTATCATGATGGAACATAGGAGTTCAAACCGCAAAGGGATTACAAGCAGCTCATACCACGGGGCTTCCTCTGGATACTGCACATACCATTGCTGAAAAGCAACCAAGTTCGTATGGTTCAGAAGGGCCCCAAGCATACAAAAACAAGAGTAAAATATTTATTATGGACTTGACATTGTATGAGGATTAGGTAGGAATCTAACCTTCCTTGCTTCTGTATCTTTCCAAACATTTCCAGCTACACCGAGGACCATAACAACGACAATTTGGAAAACGAATATTGCTCCAGTCAGTTTATCAATCATTGCATCCATAGCAGTAAGCTTCGGCTCAGCTATACCCCTACTCATACCAAGCTTAGTTTGGTTCCCTATAAAATTATGAAAAATCATTGAAGCATTTGTCAAGATAAACTACTGACCAGAGGAATTAGGAATGCATGGTCCACAAGAAAAAAGCCATTTTATAAGAAAAAATACCTGTATAGACAGATACTCCACAAGCCCACTCTGTATTTCTCAAGTAACAGGACTGAAGAAGAGTGTTTTTTATGGTTAAAGAACAGACGTCATTGTCAATAAATGGCGGAAATAAGCGCATGTTTGCGTCAAATCTTCGAATATCCTTATCTGGAATAGGACATTCAATCACACCCTGAAAACATAAATAGCTTAATATAAAATCTAATAAGAGGAAACAGCATGGAAAGCCAGGACCGATATGACTATTTACAAAAAGTCTTACTTTCATTTTGTGTAACAATTCTAAATCAATTCCCACACATGCTGAGGGTATGACTCTTGTTTTTAGATCAGTTTCACCGTCTAAAGCAGCAGTCTGCATATATGAGTTCACTTTTAGCGCATTTGAAAGTACTCAAGAAAAGTTACCACCATCAACCAGGAAACTAAATTGTAGCATAAATGAACAGGAAGTCTACCTCTACATAGCAAACACCTTGTGGATCAGAGGTACCAAGCAAAACTAGATCACAAGGAACTTCATCATTCTCACGCAACCAGACAATATTACCAACTTGTATGTCCTGTGCTTGAATCTACATGCAACATACTACAACAGTCAAGCCAAAAATATCACTCGCCAGGAAAAAATCGTGAAAAAGTGATTCATACATGCTTCTTGATCCCCTGTTTGACGATCCAAACTTCTTTCTCATTTGCTTTCTTATCTGATAGATACCTGTGGTAATCATCCCAAGCTTCTTTCGAAGCCGAGACTGCAAATATGAATATTAACGGACCCCATGTACTAGCAGGATTTACCGGGGTGATAAGTGACCATAGCTGAAGGCAAGCAATCAACAAAAAATACTGGTTCATGAACCGGCTGAAAAGAAAACCATACAACATCTTCATCAAAAAAGACGAAACTCCGATATATAACATTAGAACCATAAATAAAATGAATCATCATCATCACCTGAATTGCTCCCACAAGTTCTTTGGAAGAAAATTCCACAACGTATACTTTCTGTTAGATATACGGTTATCACAACAAAGCTCTTTCGAAGCTTCATCATCGTTAATGTATACAAAACGCTTCATATTTTTTTTTTTTGCGTGGAAGCAAAAACACTCTTCTAAAAATTCATCTTCAAACTCATAAATACTGATTGAAGTGTAATCCCATAAAACTGCAAAATATGAATTGTTAAACCCCATCATCGTTGAAGAAGCAAAACCCAATTAGATTCAAAATTCAAACACCAGAGATCTCTCAAAATCGCAAGTCGAATCTAATTTAAATTCGAACACATCGAGATCAGAGAAAAAACTCAAAAACATCAATTAATTTATCATTTCTCAGATAATCCCGCGAAATGAACAATCCTGAAGAAAGCAAAATTCGAAATTCATATGAAGATCGAGTAATACGTTACCTTATCGATCACACGGAGCTTGATTTTTTTCTCAGGAGTTGGAGATTCTTTTGGTTTTTCGTGTCTTTGGTTTTGCTCTCTGTTGAATGTTTTGCGTTAAGGAAGAAAGAGGAGGTAGTGATCTGCAGCGACGGTGCGTTTTGTTGACTTCCGTAGAAATCGGCTCCATCAGAGATTTTGTCTCTGCCGTTTTGATTAATTTAAAAGACACTGTTCGTTGTTTTCTGTTTTAGAAAACGGCACGCATTCTGTTTCGTAGACTAAGACAAATACAACGAAATTTCGATTCTCTCGCCATCTACGAATATACCTCTTTGTGTGGACCATAGTTCCAAAAATTCTTAATATATACCAAACTTTATATTGTTACGATAGCGATACAATAAGAGAAATGAAAATGATAGAAAAGTTTATCAAAATGTAAATAATAGAAATTACATTTGGAGGGAAAGAAACAAACGGCGTCATGGAGAAAACAACTCAACGACAGTGTAAATTGTGATTTGTGAAACTGATTGAATAAAATTTTTACATTCGTTCGTTTGTTATGCGTATAAAACGAACGAATTTTACCTCCAAGAAAAAAGGAAATATATAATTGGGCCTATAGAGACAGCCCAAGCCCATGAGAATCATATCGAATTATCGATGTCACATAACAACAATACATTAGCTATGATCAGATTCAGATCCATGGCGTTTCCGTTAAGACTCTCAACTCTTCATATATTCAAATTTCTTCACTATAGTTCATTTTGAAATATATGACAAATCTCTTGGGTGTCAAGCAAACTATCTCCAGTTTTCCAATTTTCCAGAGCTTTTTTCTTGATTCACAAGAAAAGTCTCCTCGAAGATTGGATTCGGTCTGTGTACAATCTCGATTCTCACCAAAAATCACCACAAGAACAAGCTCCACTCCTAAAATGGTGGAATCTCATATTATCCCTCATTATAATCACCCTCCCTGTAACTTCTGATGCCAAACGCATAAACATGTGACAATCTTGGCACATCCTCAAATTCTTCATTATTGTTATTGTAGAATCTCTGTTCGTAGTGAGTAAAGAGAACGCTAAAGATAGCTTCTCGGTGTGCTGTATCAGTATCAACCTCTTTGCATTGTCACTCACGTCGTAGGGCACAGAGCTTAAATCCGGTTGATACCCTAATGCCGTTAATCTTTCTACAAGCTCTTCTAACTTGTCTTGAATCTTTTTTGACATTGGATGGTTTAGGTTTCCCGGGAAAAACTTATGCATCTGACCGTTCTTATCTACAACCCAACTAACCGCGGGTGTCTTCTTCAAACCCTTTTCTTTGATCAGTTTCCGCACTCTTAAAACGCCGCCCCAGTCTCCAGCTGACGAGTAGACGTTAGAGAGCAATATATAGTTTCCGATAATGTTCGGTTCCAATTCAAACAAATGTTCTGCAGCAATCTCTGCTATGTCTGGATTGTTGTGAATTCTGCAGGCACCGAGTAATGCACCCCATACACCTCCGTGTGGCTCAACAGACATAGTTTTAATCAGCTCAAGGGCTTCTTGTAACCGCCCTGTACGGCCAAGAAGATCGACCATACAAGTATAGTGATCCCGCGTTGGTTCAACACCGAATGTTTGATACATAGAAGCAAATACTTGACGTCCTTGGTCAACGAGTCCCGAGTGGCTGCAAGCCGTAAGCGCACCAACAAATGTAACCGTGTTTGGTTTTATCGCTGTCTGCGTTACCATGTAATGAAACAGATCTAAAGCCTCTTGAGCACGCCCATGCGTAGCAAGACCAAGGATCATCGAACTGTAAGAGAAAACGTTTTTGTTGTTCATTGACACAAACACATTAACTGCCTCTTCTACATTTCCACATTTTGAGTACATATCTATCAACGCAGACCCAATAACAACATGATCGGTAGGAGAATACCCACATTTCCGAGCGATTTGAACAGCCCGATCAGCGTATTTACTTGCTCCCAGCTGCGCACATGCCGATATATATCCAGCCACAGTAACCTCATCAGCTCGAATTCCCGATTTCTCCATCCTATCAAAGTACTCTAAAGCTTCCTGAGGTTTAGCATTCTGCGCAAATCCCGTAACCATAGCAGTCCAAGCCACCATATCTTTCGTAGGCAAGCTTTCAAACAAACCCGCAGCAGATTCCATATTCCCAACTCTCGCATACGCAGCAATAAGCTCAGTCCACGATATCACATCTCGTTCAGGCATTTCGTCAAACACCTTACGCGCACAAGCAATAGACCCACATTTCACATACATATCAATCATTGTATTCCCAACATACACAAAACAAAACCCTCTAAGTCTAAACGTCTGTGCATGAAACTGTCGACCTAAATTCAAATCTCCCATTGATCCACAAGCTTTCAAAAGAGCAGAGAAAGTGAAAGAAACTGGCGTAATCTCTTCTTTCCTCATACATCCATACATAGCAATAGCTTCATCAAATTTACCTTCAATCGTATACCCACGAATCACTGCGGTCCAGAGAAATGGATTCCGAAACTGAACTGGCTCGATTACACGGCGAGGATATGGATCCATTGGAACACCGAGCTTGGTTAACGTGCGAATTAGCTTGGTGAGAATGTAACAGCTTTGATCAAGACCTTTACGGAGAACATGACCATGAATTTGCTTGATTTGATTGAGATTGATGCAATCATCGAGCTTTGAGATGAGTGAAGACACTAGAAGCTCTCTTTGATGACTTATCTCTGAGAATGTACCGGAATTGTTGTTATTGGTTCTTCCAAGCTGAAGTAGTTGTTTTGAAAGCAAGCTTATGTTAATGGGGTTAACCGCCGTCGAGAACCGGTGAGAATGAGCCACCGTCATCGCCGGCAAGGTCCCGGATCCTGCGCCGTGCCTCGTTTATAGTTACCGGTTTCGGATTTGACATCTTAATTGCACCTATGATACTCACTTAATTACGAAAATGCACCTTTGAAACACTTGTAAGGTGTAACCGTAACTGGGCTTTTCTGTTTAAGGCCCAGCCCATTAAAGTAAGATGGTCAAGCTAAGGTTCATAAAGACTTTAATACCCTGAGCTAAGTCTGGACGTTCGGATATTCGGTTCGATTCCGGTTTTTTTCAGTTTAGAATCTATTCAGATATTTTTTTCGGATACTTCGGGTAAATATTTTTGGTCATATTTGGATATTTTCGAGTATTTTTTTAATATTTTTCTAAATATTTTTTGGTATTTCAGGTATTTTTGATTATTCGATCTAAAAAAACTAATATTTTTGGTTCTAAAATTTAGGATCCAAGCATATTAAAATTTTGCTTTGGTTCCGGTTCGGTTATTTTTGCTTCGATTCCGGTTCGATTCTCACAAATCATAAACATGCTCAAAGTTTTCATAACAAATCCACAAAAATGTCTAAAAAATCGCACACTTATTTGATTTAGTCAAAAATCATAACCTAAATATGATAATGTATGAATTTATTAAATTTCTAAAAAATCGCACACTTATTTGATTTAGTCAAAAATCATAACCTAAAAGCTATTTGTCTAATAAATCTGATGTGTATAGCTTTGGTGTAGTAGTTATGGAAGTTGTTCATGTAAAGAGCAACACAAATCTCCATTTCCAGATAGTGAGGAGATATATTTTGTCGATTGGGTAATAATATTTTATAGTATATAAATTCATTATTTTGCATAAGATCTCATCTATGGAATCAGAACAAGGTGGCGCAATTTGTAAATCCGCGACTACAAAGCTATGACAAGGATGAAGTAATGAGAACGATCAACATTGAGATCATATGTACGAGTCGTGCAGATGATGACATGTCACCAATGCTATTAATAGTTAGCATGTTAAAGTGTCTTCTAACCGTAAAAGTCGAAGTGCACATGACAGTTCTTAGTGATGAGGAGCAAGCTCTGGATATGTTGAGGATGATTGCGGAGATTGACGAAGAATTCGAATCACAGGAGATTACATTGACTTTGGAGAGGTATCCTATTTCGAGAAAGAGAAAAGATAAGGTTTTCTAATAATGTTTTTTTATCGAAACTGAGTCGAGTTGCGCTAGAGCTGAGAGAAAAGGATAATGAACTTGCAAATTGAAGTTAAAATCTCTATGCATTGATTCTTACACAATTAACTTTTTCACCTTTCATCATTGTAAAATATTTTCAATTGAGATTCAGATTTTAAGCAAATTGGAAGATAGTTTTCAACTTTTGGAAGCTATGCTAGTAAATTACTATGTTTTAATATGATTGTTTCAAAGTTCGAATATGGTATTGTTAATAATTGTGACTTCTTTACATGATTAAACAATTCGATTGATTAGAAAAATAGAAAACATGCAATCAAAAAATGCTAAGAATGTTCATAACATGCACACAAATGTCCAAAAAGTTGCATAAATATATGAATGGTCAAAACTCATAAACCTAAATTTGATAATGTGTAAATTAATTGAATATTTTTTGTCATCTTAAAATAATTGAATTTTAGTATAATGAATTTATGTGTTAATATCAATTGTGACAATTACATAAGATATATATATATATATATATATATATATATATATATATAAATTGGTTTAAATTTTTTATATTTTAGAGAACTGTATGAATGAGATTTGGAAACCTTGATTGGAGAAAAAAAAGTAAGTGGAAAATTTGTTCTCGTATGTTGTTTAGTTTAGAGTAATGTTTGAAATTAGTTAATTTTTGGAATCATTATCATATAAACTAATTATAAGAATGATGACCTTGATAGTTGAATCGGTGGAAAGCCCATGAGGGATGGTATACATACTTTTTAACAAATAATTTCAAGCTATGTTCATCTTATTTCGTTTGATTTGAATCTGGAATGGTGTGCCACTAATGATTGTGTGTTCCTAATGTTGTTAGTAGGGCTGGGCAAAATAACTGAACTACGAGAACCGAACCGGAACCGAAGCAAAAAGAACCGAACCGGAACCGAACCGAAATTTTAAAATACTCAAATGGATCTTAAATTTTAGAACCGAAAGAACCGGAACCGGAACCGAACCGAACCGAAATATTTCGGGTACCCGAAAATACCCGAAATATAAGTTTATATCTAAAAATATTAGTTATTTTTAGATCGAATAACCAAAAATACCCGAAATACCAAAAAATATTTGGAAAATATATAAAAAAAATACTTATAATATCCAAAAAAATACTCGAAAATATCCGAAAATACCCAAAAAATATCCAAAATACCTAAAAATATCCGAAAGAAAATATCCGAATGGTTCCTAAACTTCAGAACCGACAGAACCGGAACCGAAACCGGAACCGAACCAAAATTGATTGGTTCCTATATGGATCCTAAATTCTATAACCGAAAGAACCGGAACCGAACCGGAACCGGACCAGAACCGAACGGGTACCCGAACGCCCAGGCCTAGTTGTTAGAATATGCATGATGCGAGGCAAGTTTAATAGGATTGGATTCAAAACGAAAAAGATTCGTTTATGCTGAGATTAGAATAACTACATAATAATCACACTATATCCCACACATTCCACATGGTTTTATCGGATTAAAAAAAAATCTAGAAGCTGAAAATTCTGCCGAAGATAAAACATTTTCTATGGCATGTCCTTTCTCGAGCCATTGGAACTGCTACGAGGCTCAGGTCACAAGGGGTTCAAATAGATCAAATGTGCCAACAATGTCGTCTTTTCTGATGAAAGTATCAATCATACACTCTTCACATGTCCTTGCTCCAAACTATTATGGCTTTAAGGGTGTCCTCCATTATCTCTTTCACAATTTCCTTCGAATGATTGTGAAGAAAACATCTCTACTCTTCTCTCTCTGTTTCAAGACCAAAGCTGCACGTTGGAACAAAAACTTTTACCCTTTTGGTTACTTTGGCATATATGAAAGGCTCGTAACAATGTTATCTTCAATTACATTGGAGAAAACCATTTGAATGTTAGTCTTCAAGTTCAGACAGATGTTGCAGAATGGATCCAAACCACTTGTGCAAATGAAAATTATTTATCTCCTCCATCAGAGCGGAGCTACTGGACACAATCAATTAATCATCATGTCACACATAACTTTGATGTCGGTTTTGATCCTATTACACATTAGGTCATGGGAGGTTGGATCATTCGAAATAATCTTGTAGTGGCAGAAGGACGCACTACAGACACTTCGTTGGAAGCTGAAGTTGAGGGTTTAATTTTGCCAATGCAACAATCGTGGATTAGAGGCCACACGTCGGTCAGTTTCGAGGGAGACATCAAAATCTTCATTGATATCGTTAATGGTCTAGTTGTGGACGTCTCTATCACTGGTTTATACCAGAAAATCATCTTTTGGGCATCACGTTTTCGTTGAAAAAACAAAAATGATGAATTTATAACTAAAAAAGAAATAGATTTGTCTCGTCTTTGCAAATCCGATCCTTTCGATTTTAATTCGGTATTTTGTTTGAAACTTTCAATATAAATTTTGTTATTGTTTTAGCAATTGTCAGTTTTCTTTTCTCATTGTAAAAATCTAGTTCCTACAACGTTATATGTTTAAAGTTGAATTCTTTTTCTGTCCATGCATTTGTCGAAGATACTAAAAGTCAATAGATGAGTAGTGCCAAAAAGAAGTCAAGTTTGAATGCTTAAGATTGTTGTTAAATGTCGTAAGTTTGTAACCGTCGGTGAATTACGAAAAATGAAAATGACATAATGCCTTGACTTGATAAGCTACCTAATAAATACTAAAATCAAAACATTAAGACAACGACGACGCACGCAAGGCTCGTGAGCAGACCAACACGCGGCGAGACATTGCTGAAGCTGCTGTTTCAGGCAATGGGCTAAACCTTATGAACGTAGGCGCGAGGTGGTGAGATCACGTGGTCTATGTTTGGTCGGTGAGTGACACGCGATAATGAAGTGCGTGCGTGAGAAGAAAGGCTAAAACATATGCTCCGCAGAATCTGCCGACTAATTATGTAGGAGCCACACATATCTGCTTACCGGACCTTAATTTGAGTCCCACACCCACTTCGGCGACTTATCCGATGCAACCAATAGATTTTTGTTTGGGTCTTTCCTTACACAGAAACTTACACAGAAATGTTAATATGGAATTGACTTTAAGGCTTTGTTAACAACGAAATGTTGGAGAAAAATATACACATACATATTTCACTTTGATAGTTAACACTTAACACTTAACACCGTCAAATATATTATCAAATAATTAAATATGTAGGTACACAAAACAAATCTTTGTGAAAAAAGGAATATTTGCCTAATGTTTTTATGCGTTTTCCAAATCCAGTGATATATTCGTGTATACTGTGTATTTGTGGCAAATTAAAAAGTGAATCTCCACGCAAAGAAATATACAAATGTGCTTGTATTTATGTCCTTTGTTTTTTTAACAAGATGTTTTGGGGTTTAAATATTGTTATCTTTTTATTTTTTGTTAAACCGTGGAATTTCCAAATTTTTAATCTATAATCTCTAAAGTCAGTCTTTATCTATTTCGATTTAAAAAATACTCCTCCAAATCAAAAATGTTTGAATCCGAAATTCAAAAGAATCAGTTCCTTTTTCTAGTTGTCTACCACTTTCTTTAATTATGTAATTGTTTCATTGTATTTGTACATCTATGAAAAAAATAGGTTTATCCATTCAAAAATTACTATATATATTAGAGGACTATAAGCCTGATAGTTTTTTTTTGTTTTTTTTGGTAAACTATAAGCATGGTAGTTGTTAACCGTTTTTGGTGTTTCGTATTTTCGTCCCAAAGTAATTTGATACTAACAAACATCTAGTATCAACACATAAAACTTGTATAAATACGTAAATCTCTAATCCAAAAAAAAAAAAAAACACTTAAATTTTCATTTAAAATGTCTAAATTCATTAATCTACAATGCCTATGAAGGTAATAAAACAATTTATAGATAGTTAGACAGAACCGAAGAAGAAGCCGCCCTAGCCAAAATATATTTGTGGTTTAAAAATGAAAAGTGGGAACAAAACAGATGAGAAGACGCGCCTGGTGGACGGCGAAAGCACACGTGCCTCCCACCTGACACTCATGCCATCATCCCCATCTACACGATACTCGAAGATTGGACTCATGATGCTACCACTCTACTTTTCAAATTCATTAGTACTTTGAAATAAACTCATTATTTACTACAGTTTTTTTATTCCTTTTGAACTTTCTTTTGACCTTTTTACAATTCATCTTACACGTCTTAATTAATAAACCAAAACCTCCCATGAATCCATAATTCGATATAATTAGTAAAGACAACTACTTTTTTGTATTATGATGATCCAATTTTTTTTTTATACTCCCCTATACTAATTTTGTTTGATGTTGACAGACCATATAAATGTTCGATGTTTCTTGGTTTCATATTCCACAGCCATTTAATGGAGTTATATCTACTATATTTTCTGATTCATCAACCACCAATCATGTCATTTTAAGATATTTTTGTCAAGGAAATCAAAGGTTTAAGAAACAGATCAAAAGGAGATATTTGATTAATACTAATTACATCTACATAGAGGAACCATATGGAAACTAATTAAACAAGGGATTTCTAAAAATTTGTCCTCTTACTTGGCCAAAAATATAGGAGATTTTTCTTTTTCTCATCTACTAAAAAAAAATGCAGAAGAAAAAAACATTAAATATTTATCCGGCAATGTAAACAACAAATTAAGAAAAAAGAAAAAAAAATTCTAAACGTCCACCACCGGTGGAGCTAGGTTAAGATCCAGGTTTAGTTCTCTTCTCGGTTCAACTTTTACGGTTTCTCGAATACCAATACTCAACTCGATATTAACCGGATCAAACCGAACCGGATAAACCCGAGAAAGCTCCGCTCTTAACCCAGCAGCTCTTGACGGATCGAAGAAAAAACCGGAAGCAGCATAACCGCCGACGACTTTACGCTCCCGGTGACATGCAAAAGGAAATCTCTGACGCGTCATCTCACGCGCCGCCGTAACCGCCGAACGGTTGACGTAAGAATCGTTCCCTCCGTCACCGTCGCTAACGGCAGAAGTCTCGCCGGGAAGAGGGAAATTAGTCTTTGCTTTAGAGCCACGAAACTCTCTCGCGGCGGTGTCGTAAGCTCTAGCAGCTTCCTCCGCCGTGTCGAATGTTCCGAGCCAAACCCGGGTTTTCTTTCCCGGGTCACGGATCTCCGCCGCGTATCTCCCCCATGGACGTTTCCTCACACCTCTAAAATGCACTTCTTTCCTCATCGTCGCCGTCATCTTCCCTCCGCCGCCTTCTATCACGGCGGTGTTAGTACCATTCACCCGTTTTGGAGCCATTGCTAACAAAAAAAAAAAGAGATATTCTCGTTTATAGAATAAAGAAGTGACGTTGTTTGGTTTTAATTTGGTAAAGGTTTTTGGTTTATAGAGAGAGACGGTCAACGAGGGTTTGACTGAAAAGCGCCGCCCAAAAAACAGACAATGTGAGAGGTTTTAATGTTTTTATGACGGCTTTTTGCCTTAACGTCCCGTTACTGCGGCGTGACTTTGCGTAATTTGATTGCTTTATCTCACGCTCCTTCATTAATCTACGTGACTACCACGCTCTCTCACCATTTACTCTAAAAATTAAATGGTTTTACATTAATGTGAATTTCCCAAGCCTTATTTTAGTACTCACCAATATGAATATGTTTAGCTAATAGCCTCGGTTCTATATAATTTAATAAATTTCTATATGATTTTCGGTATCAGATATGTAGACTATGTAGTAGGTGATTCAGATATAGGTTTCATTGGTAGCAAAAAATTGTACAAATTTAAATTTTAAATTGAAACGGTAAATTTTTATGTAATTATGTAATAACATAAAACTGTAAAAAATAGTTATACAACAAAATTGATAATAAAATCTTTAGTAAAGTTTTTGAGAAAGTTTTTAATAAAAATTTAGTAAAGTTTTTGAGAAAGTTTTTAATAAAAATTTTGTGATTTGTAAATGTCAAAACTGTATACCATATACCGCATCGGTACGAAGTTACCATTCATAACCATAATTTGATGATATTTAAGTAGCTAGGTAATGTGTTAATATCTTTTTTAATAAATGGTTAGTAGCTTAAGAATCCAATTTGTATCAACTTAATTATCATGTCATATTGCAAAAAGATTATTTTCTTACATCTATTGCAAAAAGATTTCGATTTGTTTTTTTAAAACATGACATACGGGTTGATAACACTATTTTATTTACTTTGGTAGATTTCGTTGATTTCCTGTTTTATGATATCAACAACAATCAATTTTATTGATGAACATTGTTGTGTAACAGCTCTAAAAGATTTTATATATATATGTAGTTAACTCATTTAACTCGATAAATAAATCAGTTTTAGAATTATATGAACTTTTATTGAGTTAAGTAAATAAGTATTTTACTATAGACATAATTATGGGTTATTATTTTTTATTTTTTTTTTGAATACAAGGAGGTTCTGGGCCAAAGCTCGTAATCCCCCCAGGCCCGAAACCACAGCATGTAATATTAGTTTCGTCCCAAACGTTACTCGAACCGGCGACCTCTAAGCTTCGCCTAGGATCTTTACCAGTTGAGCTAACGACACTTGGTACGTCTAACGTTATTGTTAAATGTCAATCCACACAAAAGTCACAAATATTCTGATACTACAACATAACACAAAAAAAGAAGAAAAAAATGGTATTTGAATCCCGTTAGGTTAGATATATCATATACGTATGTTAGAGACTTAGAGTTGATTAAGTTCTTAGTCTTTGCTTCAAGCAGTGCCTTAAACATTGTGTTAGGCAATGTACTATGAATTTTATTCAATAAAGAGCCAATAATCTTCTATTATAATTTGCCTGTTTTCATTAAAACAAAAAGAAATACCTAAAACATGCTCCATTCTCTTCATTGCGCACAATGAGCAAAGTATGAAGTGATATTCTAAATAAAGGTAACATTTTGCAGCCTCCTTGCTCCATGTTAATCGAACGTTATTCTCTACTTGATTCAAATTTTGTTAAAATAGGAAAAAGTGATTGAAGGGACACCATATATAGTAGATTATGTTCCGTCCCTACTCCATCTCAGTTCACGAATCAATAGCAAAACATAAAGCATAACACAGATTTAACCAGAGCTTTAACTCGAAAATGAGTCACCTAAACTAACCACTTACACATCGAGAAATAACTATTTCAATGTCTCCTAAGAAAGGCTCCTTAGCTATTTTTCTTGTCCTTAAGCTCTCATTCGCGTGATCTCACATGGAACATTTCCCCTTATCCGACTGCCATGGAGGCAGCTTGAACACTAGGTTAGGTTCTCCTTCATCGTCGTTGTATATACATCCATGGAACCTACATGATTCGGCTAGCTCAATCATTTGTCTCTCATCAAAGTGACATGGACGCACCCTTAACCTAGACTAGGTTAGGTTTTCCTTCAACCATAAGCTTCCTTTATAAAGAAATCCTTATGTTTTTGTCAGTTTTCCTCTTTTTTTTTGCAGTATACACAACTTGGATCTTGTATGGACTTCTCATCAATATTTGGCCCAGTTTCTCAATCAAACTAAATAGGCCCATATGAAACAAACATACCCAACATATTAGAGATGCACCAAAGAGAACTATTACACCATAAAGAATGAGTCTTCCAAAGAGAACTACTAGTAGTCTAACATCTAACGAGTTTTAAGAGGCCTCATGTAGGGGTGTCAAAATGGGTTAATACCCATGGGTTACCCGAACCCGTCCATGATTTTAGTGGGTTTGGGTAGAATTTTTTTACCCATATATATAAATGGGTTTTAGTGGGTTACCCTATTAGGGTTATGGGTTTAATGGGTAAAACCCATTAGGGTCATGGGTTACCCATGGGTTTCATAACCAAAACTAAAAAGTAAAATTTATATATATCTATATTAATATATTATGTAAAATTTATATAAATATATGTAAAATATCTTATTTTCTTTACAACTATATATGTAAAATATCTAAAATAACTATTAAAGTTTACATTTTACCTAAAAATAAAAGTAAAAAGTAAAATATATGTATAATATCTAGATTTTTTTAATTTATTATTTAAAAACTTTTGTTGGTTTACAATTTTATGTTATTTTTTTGGATTTTTATTATTTATATATTTTATTATACATATATATGGGTACCCATATAACCCATTAAGCCAATGGATTTCTACAATAATGGGTTTGGGTATGTAAATTCAACCCATATAAATATATGGGTCGGGTCAAACCCGTCCATTAAACACTCGAACCCATATGGGTTTGGGTCGGGTCGGGTCGGGTTATCCATTTTGACACCCCCCTCATGGATTACTTTGATCCTCAAATTTTATACTTGCTAGTTAGTCATGTGCCTGGATCTGAAATCGATCGTGTCTCACTAAGCCAGATGTTATACCCGAAAACCAAATTTAGAACCGAATGTATTGGTTTATCGAGATATTAATTTATAGATGTTATACCATAGTTTTTATGGTTTAGACTTCAAACTTTATATAAACAAATAAACCGAAACCAAACCGGAATTGATTTTTGATTCCCCAATTTTAGATGCAAAATATTTTTTTTTCAAATAATAAATTTAATTAATACCAAATTTCAACAATAATATTTATGAATTAATTGTAAGGTTTCGTAACGTGGGCCATGAAACCGGATACTCGAGAGTCGCCGGAGTGTCCTTGCTTCTATCTGTTGTTCTGCTTCTCCTTTAGATATTAGGGTTTTTGAGGAAGACGAGTAAGTGTCTCTCCGTCTCGATTTTGTCCTCATCTTCTTCTTCTTCTTTCACTCCGCATAACCTAATTTAATCTATCATCCTCTCTCCTCATCGCAGATTCACACCGTGAAGCGATGGCTTTGTTGTTCAAGGTAACATAAAGTTTAGATTTTTGTCTGAACCCATTTCTGGGTTTTGCTTTTCATATCATAGAAACTCGAGATTCGTTAATGTTTCTTGTTAATTGATTCTAATTGATGTGGAAATTGGTGTTCTAGGGTTTGGTCTCACTATTTGAGCTGAACTAGTTTCTTCGTGCTTTTAGTCTTTCTAGGGATTCGTTTTGCATCTTTAGCGATTGGGTTATGTCAAATTTTTCATATTTGGGGTTTTTGATTGTCAGGAGCAAGCAAAGCTCTCGGCTTATCGAGATAGAAGATTTTCTGGAACACAAGAGGAATTCGATGAAGCGCTAAGAGCATCTACAACGGTTTACATTGGCAATGTGTCTTTCTACACTACTGAAGAACAGCTTTACGAGCTTTTCTCTAGAGCAGGAGAAATCAAAAAGATCATCATGGGTTTGGATAAGAACACTAAAACACCTTGTGGCTTTTGTTTTGTCCTGTAAGCTTTGATCTTCGACAGTTTTATATGTAAGTTTTATGATGGTGGTTACTGAGTTTTGCTATTGTGTGTTGTTTATCAGGTTCTACTCGAGAGAGGATACTGAAGATGCAGTCAAGTATATAAGTGGGACTATTCTGGATGATCGGCCTATTCGTGTGGATTTTGATTGGGGGTTCCAAGAAGGAAGACAATGGGGACGTGGTAGAAGCGGTGGCCAGGTATTCATCAGTTGCATCCTCTCTGTAATTTCCTGACTTTTGTATAAAAATTATGATGTTAATCATGGTTTTCTAATTTTCATACAGGTTCGAGATGAATACCGTACAGATTACGATCCTGATATCCTTTCAGTCCGAATTATAGCGCTCTCTGTTGTTCTTGTTTAGTAAACCTGTTTTGTGGTAGTAAAGATTGACTATCTTGATTTCTCGGTTATGAATTTGCCGCACATCCTTGTGTTGTTTCTTTAACTCATTGATTACCTAGAGGTGGTTATGGAAAATTAGTTCAGAAGGAACTTGAAGCACAAAGGCAGCTCGTGGATTACGGTACTGGCTCATTGGGAGCCTATCCTCAAGCTGCGCCATCAAATTGTATGTCCTTTTCAAAACTTTCTACCAAATTTACATTATCTTATTCATGGTTGCATGATTTTGCAATATACTGTGGACAAATGGTGAACTAAAAGCACCATGAATGTGAGAAGTTACTTTACTTAGAATTGTAGTGCTAAGAAGAAGACCTTGCGAAGCATCCACTTATTGTTTTTCCGGTTCCCTTTGGAATAGATAGTGAAAATGTGAAACAAGTTATGAATCCTAGTGTTAAGTAGCTTATTTAAGTCAAATCATACGAGAACCCATAAATAGAGCCTGCATAACACTTAGTTTTTAAAACTTTTTGCATATGTTAATCACACAGATGGAAATGGAAGGCGTGGTGGTGGAAACTATGGTCAAGGTGGACCAAATCGCCATGGAAGAGGAGGAGGTATATTTTCCCAAATTAGCATAATGCGTAGTAATAGTATAATCCACAGCCACAATAGCACAATTCACTGTTTTTAATTTTTTGCAGACTATCATCGGAAACGACAAAGAGACGACGATCGCTATGGCCGTGATAACTCAAGAAGAAACACAGATCATGAGTCTAGGAGAGACACTGATCATGACATGAGACCGGTAATTAACACAACTTTCTTCGTTTTCAAACCTTTTGAGTATATTATCTGATGCTAAAAAACTGTATGCTATGGAATTTTGGTGATTGTAACAGGAGAAGAACCCACGTTTCCGTGAGAGCGGTGACTCCGACGATGATGGTGAAGATGATCGGAAGAGAAGATCTTAAAACAAACTTAGCAGCTACCAATGTTGTTGAAGGATCAATGTAATCTTTAGATTGATGAGTATGAACTCAATTTGGGTTTTCTAGATTTTCATTACAAACTTTGTTAAGTTGGTTTCATTCAAATATCAATGTCCTAATGTAACTTTTGCTCCTTGATCAACGGAAATAGGATATGAAATATCATTACTAGTCTTTTGGGCCGAAGTAGCCAAGTGTAGGCCCACCATAGTACTCACTAATAACATTGTATTCATCTGGCTATCTTCTTTGCTATGTATTCTTAAATTTAGTCATTTTCTTAAGTATATCAAATTTATCAATCTAGATTTTCTTGAGATAGAACAACCATGTATAGCAAACTTATTCAATATCGTTCAAGAGTTGTCTGTACATATATAAAACGTATTTGAGCTGCTTCTGCACAATGCTTATCAAACACAACACATAAACATGTCACTATGTCTTCTACATTCAAGAGTTATTTCAACTTCTTACCCCAAAGTAAATGTTATTATGCATAACACTTTGGCTTTTGATTAGTAACCCGAATAGTAGGGTCGGTCGTTTAACGCTTTAATAGTTTCCGATCACAAAAGTGATAACTAGCAAGACAAAAAACAATACCTTTATATTTTTTTGTACCGTTATTTTTTTTACTTTTTTAACTATACCTTTACAACTCTTTCTTTTTTCTAATTTATTTTTACCGTTTTGTATCACCCAGACCCGGTCTGCCACAAAGCAGTCAAAGCATCTGCTTTAGGCCACACCAAATATAAGAATTTTGTTTAGGGCCATATGTTTACAAGATTTGCTTAGTCAATTGGTTATGTATTTAGTAATCGAGTGTCAAGTGCTGAGTTCAAATTTTTACTTTTATAGTTTTTTTTTTCTTTTTTTTTCTCATTTATAGTTTTTTTTCTCTTTTACAGATTTTTGTTTTTCTTTTTGTTTTTTTTTGTATTGGGAGAGAATTGTTTTTATTTATGGTTTGATTCCTCTCTTTTAACAAGGAAATCTCCAAATATTTGATTTAACAAGAGTATTATAATATTCTTAACTTCTTCAATCAAAACTGAATTTTAGAAATCCTACACCAAGAATTGATGTGGATGGAAAAGATTTATTCTTGGAGCTTAAACTTCTTTTTTTTTTTTTTTTTTTTTTTTTTTTTTTTGTAAACCGGAGCTTAAACTTCTAAAAGGAGTTTTACCAAACGAGATTAAAAAGGCTATAGAGGTGTTAGATTTCTTAAAAAGAATGGAGGGTTGTTATCCAAATACATGGACTGTTTACCCTATATTGTTGACGATTTCAGTTTCAGTTGCCTCTACAAAGATAAGTTTTTCGAAGTTGATGAAGATGATAAAGAATTATCTACGATGTCACAAGACAAGTTGAATGGATTAGCAATGATGTCCATCAAGAGAGATATGATCGAAGCACTCGACTATAAGAAGTTAATCAATGAATATGCTGCGATAAAAGTTAAAAAAAATTTGATTTTTAGATTCTTTTACATTATTCAAGAACTTTCTTTAATGTTTTTTAAAATATATTTTAGTACTTTAATGACAACTTTTTAATATTAGTTTTTATATAGAAGATCACATTATTTATGTATGTTTTAGGCCACCAAAATCTAAGGACCAGCCATGGTGTCACCAATTAGATTCATGAGAATTCAGCTTTTTACATAGAACAAATGAAAACAATATGCACCAAGTATGTCCAAACTCTAAATATATGTTGGAATTTTTTTTATTATTTTTTGCCAGGATACATTGAACATTCATTATCTGTAAGAAATTCTATACATATATATTATGGTTTTTACTTAATCTTGAAAATTATTTGGCTTCTATTATATTATAAATAGTCACAATCCATAGCTATGAAAATTGGCATTAAAAACAAAATATGCCATTAAGAAAAACACATATATCCCATCACTAGTTTTCAATTATAAAACTATAAATTGTTGATTGGATCAAATAATGTTTTAAATGTTAAGCATTTTTAACCAAAAAAAAATTGTTGCATCTAGTCCTTTAATTTGTTTAGCATTTACTCATTTTGCATGATGCTTCTGGAGTCAAAAGTTAATAAAAATTATATAGTCTGCTATCGAAGATTGACGATGTAACAGGACAACTAATAATACAAAGTTGCTTAACTTCGATACATGCACTCATATAGAGAAATACATATGATCAAGCAACAAGGATTTATAGTATTTTTCCTTGCAAAAATACTTAGAAGATACCAAAATAATGTAGTTAAAAATCGAGATTTCGGCAAATTTTGGAGATTTGTTTTCTCAAGGAAGAGGAGGAACATTAGAAACTCCCTGACGTTGTAACTCCGTCATGACACCATCAACTGACGGCGGTTTCAGTCCCAAAGGAAGCGGCAGCCACGGCTTTGTTATCACGTCTCCAATAGCCGCGTCGATGCTCTCATTCGACTGCAACCATCAAGTAATGTGACAATGTTATCAAATTGAACATAGTTATTCGAATTTTTTCGTGATTATGTCATAATCATAATTTAATAAACAAAATTGAAACAAAAAAAGGTGCACTCACGGGATGAATGTCGATGGGAGGATTAGTGGGTCCTAATTGTCTTGTGGGAACACCGATGCTTGAATGATTCGATGATGCGATACCATATCCCTACATATATATACACATAGAATCGTAATTTAAACACTATAAAATATAGTATGTTTTCATAAAATTCATACATAATTCATAGCTCTAAATCTGATTAGTAATCTACATAAAAATGATTCATGATCTTGGTTCTTGCAAGCTTTTTTGTACTAATCGCGTTATTATACAAAACTGTGATTAGTTTAATGATTCCATTATATATGTTGCATGTGTTAAAAGCCAATAATGTACAAATACTAGCTTTTTGCCGTTACATGATTGTTCAACAAAGCTGATTTAGTTATGTCATTTCAATTATTTTTCATGATTTAACCTCACAACTGGAAATTAATGTAACATTAATTTACAAATGAATTATTATTACCTGTGGATATAGTGGTTGTTGGTGCCAGTACGGCGGATGACCTGGCCAAGATGCCGGAGCCGCCGCAACTGCCGGAATCGGATACGTCCGATGAGCAGACGCAGGAGTATTAGGCTTGTGTTTGGGCCACGTAGGATGACCCCACACGTGCAAAGGCCTGAAGTGGCCATGATGCATTGGTGCCACGTGTGGTGGATAGCCTAAGGCGGGAGCCGTCCATGGCTTCTTCCCTCCTCCTACTCCGGGAACTGCCACGGTCGCATGTCGACGGAGATTCCAGCTGGCAGCTTCTGCTTCACGCGCTAGTAGATGTTTCCGATGTGACCTATATTTCTATCATTACAAGAAGAACACAAACACAAATTAATCTTATTACACAAATCTGAGTTGGTTTGTATTTTACTTGTCTTTTCTTAAAATAAAATTTAAAGGAAGAATAATAATAAAATTTAGTTTGTAGATTTTTAGTCTATCATTGTAATTTTAATTACTACATCTAAAAGCTTAAAATAGTACCTGAAGATGGCTAGCAACGTTGTGACGAGTGAGAGATTTAACGTTCATAATTTCCAAAATCCGAGACGGCACCGCCTTGTCTACCCCTAATTGCTCCACCGCTTGTACAAATTTCCGGTGTAACTCCGGCGTCCAATCCACCTGATTTCCCGGAACAATATATCAATTAATCAACTAATGGAAAAAAGAATATTTTCATTGAAAATCACCCATTGTTTTACGGTTTTCTTATGAAACAATTGTGTAGTCCAAATAAACACATTAAATATAGTCCTAATTAAAGTACTCCTAATACACAAAACATGGTTTCTGTTCTAGATCTACTCTGGTTATTAAAAATAAAAAGAATTGTGTATATAAAAATACACTAAAATCACTAGTTTTGTGTATAGTTTTTCAAGAACACTAGAAGTTTGTGTATTTTTAATAAAATCCTTAAAAACGTTGGTGAATTTTTAATGGGATTTTTACCTTTAAAGAAACAAAAAATTAAACTTATTTTACATGGATGATTAGGAAATAAACATACCTTAGGTTTTTTCTTAATATCGTTATCATCGGATACACAATCTTTACTTTTCTTCCCTTTACGTTTGCCTCTACGCACCGTTTTGTCCCTAACACCACCGTCACCACCACCACCACCACCACCCTCTTGCTTACACCCATGACCACCGTCTCTCTCCGAAGTCTCCGACGCCGTCGAAGTGTTACCCTCCATTTCTTGTTCCTCATCTCTTCCGCTACCGGAATATTCCCCAAGAATCTCCGAATCTATCTCCAAATCCGGCAAAACATCGTCTCCTTCGAAACCAATGAAAAGATCGTCGTAGTAATCGATTCCATCAAGAAGATCATCGGAGAAATCTCCAACCGTCGTAAAGTCCGGCAAGCCTTCCGTCGTAAAATCTGCGAAATCTGCCGCCATGTAAGTATCCTTTGAGTTGTTTCCGATGAGTGGAGCCGGAGACACAGTTAACATCGGAAACGTTATAAAAACTTGAAAATTCTAAAGATTTGAAAATATTTAGAGAAAACAAGAATGATACAGTGAAAGTAGTATATGAGTGTATATATATATAGACGTGTGTGTCTGTATAGATATAGATAGTTCCAAGGTTTATTAAAATCTTTTATATGCCGTATATATGTGTTGGTGGATACTGACATGAAAAATAAGTTGTGGTTGAGAGCTAAGCGAGAGAGATTTTAATTTTTTCTCGTAAATTTAATATTTTATTTTAAAAATATTCATTTCAAGTTTATAATTGACAGTTTCTTTTTAAACATTATGGCTGTATTACAAATTTACAATTAATGTAAAAAAAATTACAAGAGGTATTGAATAGTCAAATATAGAAAATGACAAAAAAAATATTTTTGTCCATGTATATACTAGTGGAAATAAGAAATAGTTTTCTACCTTTTTTTAGTATTTGCATAAAATGACAAAACTTTGACTAGCAATTATGTAAATGATAAACATTTTTAAATGATAGTGATTTTTAACATTTTGGACGATTATACTATTTTTAATTAAACTATTATAAGACTAATAATTTTTTGGGAGAATTTCAAATTACCATTAACTTTGTCTATTTATAAATTACCACTTTTATTTTATAAATTTTCAAAAATATTAAAAATATGGATTTATAAATTTTTATAGAGCATATTAGAAAAATGAACACATGTTATAGACTTTTTGTAAAGTTTTAAAATTTTGTAAGGTTTTAACATTAACAATGTTTTGGTTATCAAATTTTGTCAACATTTGTTTGGGTAGAATTTTTTAAGATCTTTGAATAGTTGAATTTGTTTTTTTTAAAGAACGTTATAAGACTCCCGATTTCTTAAAAATTGTGGGGAACAAGAAGAAATTCAAATAATTTATTTGGTTATCAAATTTTCCAAAGTGCACTTATCTTAGATGTTATTCATCCTGACAGAATACCAGAATTAAATGTGTTAAAACTAAAATGATTGAAAGATCGATCGGTAACCTAAAAAAAGTTATTTCGATTATTGTGTGAGTGAATCAAAAACACAAAGAAGTTAGTCTTTAATAATATAAATTATATAATCGACACTTTATGACAGTAACAACAAATAAAAGTAATTAAAGCGTACGATCGGATAGAATGGTTGTTCATTGTAACGTTAATTGATACAGCGTAGATTTGGATATATTGGATTCTAGCATGTATAAGTTTTGTCTCGTTTCGGGTCTTAACTAATGCAAAACCTAAATGACACAGTTACGCTAAACGGTTTTTTTTACAAGTGTATTTGTTTTCTCCTTAGTCTATCTTATTTTTTTTCAAAAAACTGAAGTGGATATTCATAGAGCATAGATAAAGAAATTATTAATCATAAAAAAAACTAACTCGCATAAGTCCATCGATATCTAAACTATTATTCATTGTTGGCCAATGTAGAGGTTTGCGGCCTGCAAATCGTAAAAATACAGAACTGGCCCTGAGCCCAAACAAAGGAATCTTGGGCTTGCGGCCTGCAAATCGTAAAAATGTAAATTTTATTTGATAATCTTTGAATCTTTTGCGCTGAACTATTAACTTCATTAACGAAAGATACATTGTGATAAATTATCAACGATGTAATAAGAGGAGAAAATAATTAAACATGCTTTATTTCTTGTCATACTTTCCTACAAATATGGAACCTATCAGACAAAAATTAAGAGAATTTATGTCTTATCTAACTGTGAGTTTTATTTTCTTGAAGTACCCAAACCAACATGATGAAAGCTACGAACATGAAGATTTTCCTTGGACATTATGGTACCTTTAGAAAACTAGGGATGATTTTTTTTTTCAGATATTAAAAGGAATTCACATGCTATTATAGTTGGTCTAAGTAAATAAAAGGCTTGGAAAAAATCTAATTATTCTCATTGAACCTAAGGTTCATGAAAAGTAGTAGAACACAATTAATGAATGGAAGGTTGGGAAAAGAGAATAACTCGAAAAATAAAATGTTAGGAGAATGATTTTCGGGATAGCTTCGATCCAACCTTATGTTTGGGATGGATCTGCGCTTACTAGTGGATTTCTCATAGGATCCAAATGTTTAACAATGAGCCTCTCACCTTTTAACTCATAAATGGAAGCACTGATGTGAGCTATGTCAAATATCCTTTTAGAAAGATGAATTGTTAGAAATTTGAAATGAATTATGTTGAGAAATATCTTTTTAAGAAGAATAAATTGTAAGAAATTTTGAAACGACTGATGTTCAATACCAACTTATCACAGTTTCTTATGAGCGATCCGCTTTTCCAAATCTTGTAGACGAGTTTAGTATACTTTGATAAATGAAAAAATGTCTTTAGTCAAGTGGTTTAATATCCACATATGTGGCCTTCTCCATCGAAGTTCAACTCTATACAATCACATTACTCTGTATTTTAGGGTTATGTTTATGGATCGGATCTTGTCGATCCAAAAAATAAATCAAAATTAGGTATGAAAATTGTGGATTCTCCAAACAAGTCACATATATAGGGGGAAGGGGAACTGAGAAAAAAAAATCTCAAATTACTCACTTTAACCAAATTAATTCTCATCTTAGTGATGACTTGGCTAAATTAGGTAGCTACATGAATTATATATATCTATAATTCTTTTGATAGCTAAGAAAATTAGATTTAATCCTTATTATATGAATGACATGATTACATTTATTTATTTCTTTATTTATGGAATTTTGTTAAAGTTTTTCCTATATATGAAAATTTCTTATGTTGATAATTATAATATTAGAACATGAGGAAGTCGCTTGTTACTTGGGTTTACTGGTCTAATTGTCTAAGACCTTGTTATGTGACAAAAGTGTTACATGGTTCGAGTAGCAACATCGGCGTTAATGCTGTGAAAAGAACATGAGGAATTCACAGATTATAGGATTTCATTATTACTTTTCTTTTTAATCAAAAGATTTCATTATTACAAAATAGGATTTAATACATAAAACTCTATCACTCATAGTTTTATTTACACCTAGAGTTCTATGACTAGAAAATTTTCCGAACAGCAAGTTTACGATAAATAATTTTGGGCGATGAAGTGTATGATAGGTGCCGACAACCAAGATGTAGCTTTCTTCACAAACTGTTCAACCTGGTGAAGATGATGTCTTCTCCAACCGAATTACCGGCATTCTCAGTATATTTGGAGGAGTTACAGAGCGACAAGGAGGAATTTTCAAAAGTTTTTCTATCTTTAATTTCTCGTAGTGCAAATGTAAAAGCGGATAATTTGGCACGAAAAGTTTGTGCCGGACCGCATCATATCACATATGTAAACAATATTCCTCATTTTGAATTCTAATTAAAAGCAGTTGATAAAAAAAAAAAAAAAATTTGATTTTCACAGACTGACCACGACAAACACTTTTACCTACGTCACTTTAAAATCTCTCGGGTAAATTTACTTCAATAATCTGCAATTTAAAAATTGAATCCCAAATTTGATGTACAAACACTAAACATTAGTTAATAACCCTTTGACCAAAATGTAGGCGTTACAATTTTTATTTTTTTTATAACTTTTTATCCATACGTGCGTGAGTAAATGCAATAAGCTTAACAATTTAGTTGCGTTACAATTCTCGAAGAAATGATGCTACTTAGCGTTAAAAGCGTTATTTTCCCATTACCCATTTTTTTATCCATATGTGCATCAGTGCATGTGCAAATGCAATAAGCTAACAGTTTAATAGCGTTACATTTCTCACAGAAACGATGCTAATTGGCGTTAGAACTTAGAAGCATTGTTTATGGCATTTATTGTGTGAAGGTGCTTATAAACTCTAGTAGTTAGTACAACTATTACAGAGCTAAGTTACGACGTAACGTCTTTTTAAGTAAAATTTATTATTTCATTAATTGGACATGACATGTTTGCCTGTTTGGCTCAAGTCTTTTGGGTTCCCTCCGTTTCACAAAGAGTGTCGTTTTAAGGTTTTATTTTTGTTTCACAAAGAGTGTCGTTTTAGGTTTTCAATGCAAAATTTAATGATTTTTTATGTTTTATGACTATTAGTATTCTGCAGATTGTTTTACTATTCGGCAGATTGTGTTTAAGTATATAGGTAATGATGTTTTTGTTTAGAAAAAACAAAAAAATTAATGTTTTCTTAATCTGTGTGCAAAACTCTAAAACGACACTCTTTGTGAAACAGAGAGAGTAGTAAAGATTTAAATTTCTTTAAAAAATATCAAAGTTTCATATAGTATATTAAATTTGTGGTGGGATCTCAACCACATCTTTTTTTTAATATATATATATAACTTATTCCATTTTTACATATGTTTGTGCGTGTATATATATATATTCTGAAATGAATAATGCAGTGGAACGGGGTTGGCTACATTTTGTTATTTTTTTCTCTATTTTCTTTTATTTATTATTATTTTATTGCTATGTGGACTCCAATTATTTTGAGACTTTTTAATAAAAATGTCATGTCATGCTTACTCTTCAGTCTTCTCCAGACGACAACTTTTTCGTTTTTTTTTTGGGGTTTTTACATCTTTTTTCGTTTTCATATGTGAAATGTTAATATACATATCTATATATATACAAAAAAAATCTCCGAGAAAATAATGATGTAACTATAAAGAGAGGTCTATTATTGAAAAATGAAATTGAAATATATTTTAAAAGGAAATGAAATGATATGCACAGATTTATACAAAACAAAGAGACAAAATATGATGGAGACGAGACGTAGAAAACAAGTGGGGGCGTAGAAATTGACCTTCTCGTGAGCCACATTTGGATAATGCTTCTTTATTAATCTCTTTTTCTTCCCATCTCATTCAATCTACATGTTTTATTAATTACTATTGAGATAGGAATATAATTATGTCAAAGGGATTGACTTGAATCATAAAGATTATAATTATCTAGTCTTTGTAATATAAGTATGTTGGGTTTGATTGGTAAACGAATATAAAGTATTACAAGTTGTACAGTTTTTATTTTTACCAATCACAAAAACTTTATCAAAAGCGTTGCTAAAAGTTTTACTCTCAGTTTTTTTGTACAGCTTTCTCGTACAGCTCTTTTATACAGCTTTGCACTATTCCGGTAAAGCTAACAGCTCCAGCTAACAGCTAAAAAACTTGTACAGCTTTTGGTTACTAATCAGACCCATTATGAATGAAATGTCATCTCGAGTTTTCTCGTTGAGCTTCTAGTTTCAAAAGTTCTCTTCGCAATCTCAAGAAATTTGAAAACCTAAAATTACTACAAGAATTAATACACACTATATATTCTAAGTTTTAGAGTTATATATAAAAACTTTCCTAAGCTATATTAGTTGTTACTAAGCTACTCGTAATAATCAAGTTCGGTGATAGACATATTCAAGAAAGGAAGACAAAGTCAAACTTAAGAGAGGAGAAAGAACAAAGCAACTGAAATATGACAAATTCTAAAAAGAAAATGGTTCACAAAAGGAAAGAAAAAACAAATCACATGTAGAGCGTTGTAATAATTGAAGCCTTTACCAACATTTACAAAAAAAAAAAGCAGTGTCAATATCATTATAGATTAACAAGAGATAATCCACAATTTGGATGGTATAAAACTCCTACTGGACTTCGTTTGGAACATATTAAAATACTCTAATTGATCGAAGAATATTTATCTATAGGTTATAGAAATTCTTAATGGCTTGTCCAAAAAGTTTATAGTTACCGATGAAAGATTTTCATTGACAACATGCCACATCAAAATTGTTCTACACGTAACATTCTTCAAATGTTTAAACAGTTTGGACTTTGGATAATGTCATTTAGAGGTACTGCTTGACCTTATAAAACAAGTACATATTGTCAAGTTATATACTTTTTGGGAAGTAGAGATTTTTTTTTTCTTGACCCGAAATCATAGTAGAAAATTATAGGAAACCATTAAACCAAACATCAAATTTAGTCTTACGACATATTTATGTCATAATGATGAGAATTATGGAGTACAAATAATTCAATGCGATTTAATATCCTGTCAAATCAAATTACACTCATGCATAATAGTAAGGGACATGATCAATTGTAACATTTTTGGCATTTAGGTCTATTTTTATCAATAAAGTTTGAATATCATTTTCTTAAATGACATTCGACAGAAATGAATAAATCGTCGTACATGTGTTCTTGGAAATTCGAAAGATAAACTATAATGAAACCTTACAGATATTTTTCATTCTTATACCTTTTTTTTTTACGTTTTTTCACATTCTTCTACCCTTTATTTTTCTTAAAACTATTTACATTGGTTAATGAATAATATATTTTCTTATCTCATATATAAACACATAAACATATTTTTAAATTCTTTTTCTTTAAAGCATAATCTAATTGAGCTATTTGTAGTTCCAGTTAAAACTTAACTATAAAACATGTGGTGTTATGGTCGTCTTGAAAAATATTCTCTGAATTCAAAAAGAATTGATATTGTGAAATTTTTTTTTTTGTTTGCTTAGATGTACTTATTAGAGATAGTGGTCGGACATTTTAAAAGGCCTGGAACATGCATTAAAATATTTATCCCGGAAAAAATCTTTTATATATGCTGGATTTGTTCAACAAATTGGTACATTTGAATACCAAATACGTAATGAAAACATGTCAGACAAAATCATTCTGAAATATATTGTCCATTTCCGATCATAGTCTCTTCTTTTATTATCTCGATTTTACAACCATTCCAAATCCATTGTATACCAGCTACATTCTCCACTTGAACTATTAATGTATATACTAATATTTATAGTAAAAATATTTAGTCACTTAGGTTCGACACATAAATTGTTCTTTGGCAAACAAGTGTACTTATAAACTAGGATTTCTTTTTTCTTTTTCCAACCATACATTGATTAAAAATTCATTATTTGATTAGTAGTCCAATTACCAAAAAGAATGTTTACATAAAAAAAACTTCTGAAAGTAAAGATCTACAGGTCTTGGCTAAACAATCAGTTTGAAAATTATAAGAACGAGAAATATGTAACCGCAAAAGAAATGGATTAAAATATTATATTCTAGATAATACAAAACGAAAATTTTGAAATTTGTCTTTTAGGGTTTAAGAAGAGGTTTTAACTTACATATAAGACACATTCTTAAACTTGTATTCTAAAAAGAAAAATAGTGATATTTTTGAAATTTCGTAATAGTTATGAAACGTTTAATTTTTGTATGATTAAAATACTAGTTTCCATTACATGATTGAGATGATATTTTTATGAATATAAAAAAATCAGGAGAGAGTGTGTGATATGTGGAGAAGATAGTTTTGTCTTTCTTCTGTGTCATGAGAGGCGAGCAGTTCTTTGTCTGTAAGCTCGTAGAGAGACATATGCACGACGTCGTTCTCAGTCCCACTCTATGTCACTCTTTACAGATCCCAAACTCTTTGATTTTTATTCTTTTTTTCTTTTACACAACGACAATAATGTAACAACGTTACAATTTTTACAATCACAATAATTTACAACAACAATCACTAGTTACAGTAATTTACGACAATAACTTGCTACATAGATTCACACGGCTCGGTTTGGATAATGTAATACTCTCTGAATTCTAAAAACCAGTTGGTGCATGAGATAAAACGGTTGAGTAAGTTTAACGTAGAGTATTTTTAGGATGATTTCTTAGTAGAGGGTTGTTTTCGGTACGTGTGACCGAAGATAAAACATAGAAGAACTTATTTTGTGGTAATCTGCATATATATATTGAACTAGCCATCAAACGTAATTGAACCCATGGGCCGAGAGTGCGTAAGGGCCCACGAACGGTGAATTAAAGATACAAATTTTGCGGTAAGCCGAAAGCATATGTAACACCAAATCAATTCAAGTCGTATTGAGTGTTTTTTTTTATATAAAAGTTTGAGCTGGTTTAGAGTTATTATATTAGAGACCCTCCATATGACCGAACCAGATAGATCGAAACCGCAAATAAACGGGCAGAAGTACAAAACATCACGGTTTATTTTGGTCCTGACTCTAAGTGAATTCGGTTTACTAGAACAATAAAACCGAGTGAAAATTTACGGTTTATTTTGGTCCCGGCTCTAAGAGAATATGGTTAACCATAGCTAAACTGAACTTGTTGAGGGATGAGTTGCACCCTTCATTTTAGCCCAGCCCAAATCAAGATTAACTTAATTAGCAGCCAAGTAAGCCCAAAAAAATCCATAAAAGTCGGTCCTGAAAAATCACGGTTTATTTTGGTCCTGACACTAATAGAATTCGGCTTACCAGAATTACAAAACCGAGTGAAATTGACATAAAACCCTTTATATGGTCCCGGCTCTAATATAATTCGGTTAACCAGAGCTAAACCGGACCAAAGCATCATAGAGGGCTAGAGGTGGGCATAATATCCGAACCCGAGCTCCTGACCCGAACCCAAAGTCTAAAAATACCCAAACGGGTTCTAGACTTCCAAACCAGAAAACCCGATCCGAACCCGAACCCGAACAAGTACCCAAACATATCCACAATTTAAATACATAGTCATAATATATTGTTAATATTTATATTTGTAGTAACGTAAGTGTTAAAAATATTTAGATTTTCAGAGATTTTGGATATCTTTGGGTATTTAATTTATTTTTGAATAAATTTGGGTAAAAAATGTTCAAAGTTTTTAAATATTTTGCGTATGGTAGATTTGGTTAAGAAAATTTTGATTATTGGAAACTTCGGGTAATCCGAATCCGAACTAAAAATATTCTACCTGAACCCGATCCGAACCCGAAATCTAAAATACCCAATACGAACCCGAACGCCCACCCAGGAGGCTCATAAGAGACAAAAGGATTACATTGACGTTAACCTTAAAAAAAAGGGTTAATGATAATTGTTAAACTAAAGAAATTCATTCATTTTGAAGAATAAAAAAAAAGCCTTCGTAGTTTCTGTCTAATATCAGTCACTGAAAATCAGAAGACGATGAAGATGTTAGATCAGGATCTTCAAACTTGAACCTTTTTCGAGCAGCCGCGTCGTTGCTAATCACCGGCTGCTCTCTACCATACGAGTCATCATTTATGTAATCTTCATCTTCATCATCAACAACATTCACATCCATTTTCAAGTTCATGTCTTCTTCTTCTTCTTCGTATTCATCATCACTATGTAAGCTAAATTCACCCCTACCTACTAATTTACTTGATTCACCGCCGCCATCAAAATCATCAATCGGAGCCATGACATCATCATCATAGTCCTCATACTGAAACGATCTCCCTGAGCTGCTAGCTTCTCCGTCATCGTCTTGCAGTTCAGGAGTATCGATCCAATCGTCGTCGTTATCAGGAAGACTGGTTTTGGCGGTTACAGCAACTTCCTTTGCCCGACTTCCACCTCCTACTTCATTAGATATACCAAGTGTTCCTTTCGTTGGTCTCTTCCGGCCTTTGGTGCCGCTACGCCGCCCGTTCTTTCGTGGTTGTGCTCTCGGTCTCAACATGGTTTCGCCATTTGAGTTTGCTGCACCTCGTGGTGGTCTACCAGAAACTGCCGGTTTCTTGCCATTGCCACGGGAACGAGGCCGGCCACGACCTCGTGGTGGTCGACCTCCTCGCCCAGAGCTAGACACACCACCTAAACCAGGATCCGTCCAGTTCTCTTCTTGCGTGTAAGCAACTTGCACCGGAGTCTCCATTACGTCCTTCTCTTGAACATTTCTTGGAAAATTTGTCTCCAAACCCTTGTAAACAACAAAAATTTCAGTGTAGGAATAAAGAAAATATCAGCATTCGTTGTTATATACTTACGACAAAATTTTCAGATTCTTTGTCTTTTAGAGGATCGTTGTTTTGATCAGGTGTGTAAACAATCGAGCTGTCGAATTCAAAGAGCCTCAAAGCTACACCTCCTGTTGTCTTCGGTATCCACGGAAGTACATTAACCCCACAAGTGAAATCGCTGGCAAGAGCTTCTTCTTGTAAACCCAAGAGTTCAGAAGTTGTTTCAAAGTTTGAAGAAAGGAAATCTCTCTTTAGTGCAGTCTCTAACGTTGTGAGAACCTGAAACAAGCGAGTTTCACAGAATCAGAATTGTCCGCCAGATAACTATGAATAACTGCAACAATTTCGAAATACAAACCTGATTAAGTTCTTCAGGGGAACTTGATGACAACAGCTTCATACCCCAAGATTTCCTAAGATTCTCTGTCCAAAAAGCTTCAAGTCCTTCAGGTGGAAGAGAAGCCTGTCCATGGCGAAGAAGAATCACAATACTCATTAGTTCTAAAAAACCGAAACCGTTTCAGACCGAACCGAAAGTTTTCTGTTTCCATTTGGTTCTTCTATTTTATTCGCCACAAAAAATTATATGATGAACTAAGGAAAAGTCTAGAAAAACTCACTTCGACAAGTGCTAACTGAACCTTGAGTAGTCTTATTCTAAGAGGAGACGAGATTGAGCTACGCAAGATAGAGCCAATATCTCCTCCTCTCAAAATATCCCCAAGTTGAGACACTTGCTCAGCAAAACACAACTCACCAACATCCGGACCAGCATGCATCTGACCGCAACTAGGACAGCAAATATCACCGACAAAGTGTAGTCCTGCACAGATTCTGCATATGCGAAAAAGCGGACTGCTTTGCTTAGCACCATACTTAAATGCGGATAACGCACCCGGATGCAGCATATTATCCCACATCCACTTCTCGAAACTCTGGAACCGTTGCAATAAGCTGGATCTCTCAATCCCGTTACTATCCCCTAGCTCGATCTTAAACGTTGTGGAGATCTCGTCAGTATCGAAGTCCAAGCTAGAAGATATGGAACACAACCCAGGATTTGCTTCCACATTCCTCCTCACTGCTTCCTTGAAAGATGCTTCGATCTTCAGCAACATAAAGTGTAAATGTGATTCTCGTACACCGCGCACATCTAGTGACTTCACCAAATAATCAAAGCCCTGAAAAAAACATAACCAAAGAAGTTCCGATGATTGTTATCAACACAAATGTTCGCATTTTCAATTCCAGATGTAAGCCTTTTCATATATACCTCTTCGGAATCAATGAGCCTCCATCGGCCGTCCTGAAGTTCCACGAATATTCTACCACAGCCAGGATCATTTCGAGAGGCGGATGCTGAAAACCGCCAATAGCGATTGCGTCTTCGATCTTGACCTAGCGGAAGCGACCTATATACATATAGCTCTTCAGCTTTATACCCAACATACGCTTTTAACTGTGCACGCAGCCTTTCCCGGTCCGCTGTGTAGCCCTGTTGCTGCTGATACTGCAAATTCTCCATTCCAGGTACATTTTCTTGCAATTGCAAGCTTGGTCCTGCGATCACGTTATTCACGTCGATCTGTGGAAGACTCAACGGATCCTGTGAGGAGATTGGAGTAACATCTGCTGAGGAACTTTCTTGATTTCCAGATGCAGGGGTTGCGATATTTAGCCCCGGCTTTGCTGTTGGGTATGAAAGGTAATTTGCTCGAATCAAAGACTCTTCTTTCCAGCGTTTGTCGAGTTGCACTTCACCCCACATCTGTTTCTTTAAGGCACTTGCAACTTCCAACCGTTCCTGCACACAACACACAGAACCTGATTATGGTAGAAGACTAAAGAGAATGCAAGTCAAGATTATTTTTAGGGTAAGAATAATATATACCTCAAGGGCGATTCGGATTGTGTTTCCTTCGATGGCAATACCAATCAGAGCAACAAGTGCGTTTAAACGTTCCTCGCTGCTGAGATTCGAGTAATCTCCTTCCACGAGTCCTTGAACCCACTGTTCCCCAAGTTTGCTCTCATCAAAACAAGCACTGTCCTCACCGTTTGCTACTGCATCCTCTAGAGATTGGTCCACTAAAATGTCATCTCTTTTTTCATCTTTCATATCCTCGAGGAGAGAGGGAGTAAGAGGCAGTCCCAGTTCAGTTTTCATGGGCAAGGAATCCAGTTTCCCATTTTCCAACACTGGTTCGACTCCGATTAAGTTTTCTATCTTCAGAGCATTGGGATCTTCCTTTTTAAGGTTCAAATCAACATCTGGGTCATCTCCGACATCACTTTCGGAGTCTTCATCTCTCTCAACGTCATCAACATCTTCTACATCAGTGACGCCGCTCTTGAATGCGCGTATTCTCTCTCTCGCTTCAGCAAATATAGTCTCAGCATCACCTGCATCTTTTCTATAGGAAGCACGCACACAGTACGTAGAAGGAGCTACCCTTTCAAAGAGTTTTGTATCCCGAGACAACGCAGCAGCAACCGAGGCTTCAGGTGTCCTACTCGTCGTTAGATCCCTCAATCCTGATTTCTATGATCAATAAGAAAGAAAACGAGAATGAAATAAACCCCTGCTTAAAAAGTAAGTACAAGAGAAACAATATTTGGAGTTTAGACCATCTTTACCTGAATCTTCTCTGCAACGTCAAGAATGGTCAAACCTTTTTCACCCTCAAGAGATAGAACATGAAATGCAGCAAACTTAACAGTGCCTGGAGTCAAACGATGCCGTGAACGTCGCGGATTAGAAAGTCCCCTTTCTTGCATCTTGGCAAAAGCATTCTCCGCTGCTACTCCTTTCCTTAGGTTGAATATCACATTCTCAGAGTTGTTGGCCTGCACTTGAAGAAAAACAGAAGTCACATTATAGTAGAAAAACCGAAATTAACGGATACGTTAGATTACCCACCTCATTGTCATCATGAACAGACAAAGTCTTAATGTTCATTTTCTTCAGTTGCGGTCCCAATCCGGCAGAGAGAGCAAGTTGCCTCAAGATTTCAGGCCATGTAAAAACATTCAAGTTTCGTCTCCAGCTGCGTATATCAAAACCCCACGCATATGCCTAATCCAAAAATTGCATCATACTAAACATTAGGACTGGGAAAAATATTTACATTATAATCGAAGAAATACTAAAAAGGGGTAAACTTACACCCTCCACAACATGAGGATGACCCCCTCCGGGATTAGAAGCAGTATTCTGGTTTGCTCCAACACCGGTCAATAGCGTTCTTGCAACACCCTCTATATCTTTGATTATAGTCTTCAAAAGAACAATGTGTATCTCTCCCATTAGCCGTGGGTCCTACATGACCAAGAAGGAAAAGTTGAAATAAGCAATCCTGTTTAGATCCAAACGTATCGACGTAAGAGAGAAAGAGAGAAACACTTACATAGTCATGGAATGCTTGCGCAAACTCGTCTAGGGTAAATGGCCAAAGACCAAGAACATCCGCAAAAGTGATTAAGAATCTCCACACCTAAACGATTTCAACCAAATCAAAACAAGTTAAGAGGGTGACTTAAACTAAATAAGAACTTGTTTCTATTTCTATGTATATAGTCAAGTTTATTACTGATATTGACATCAATGCGGAAAAACGTTAACGAATAGTCAGATGGGAAAAGTCACCATTAGAAGATTTGCAACATTCGCATCAGAACCATTCCATGGCTTGACTGCAAAGGGCTTTTTCAATTTTACAGATGTTGGGGGAAATAGCGCCTGCTTGTCTGAAAGAATATAATCCAACAGATGAATGTAAGATACAATTCCCATAAACAGCTGAAAAGAATCAGAAAAATAGATAAAATAAAACAAAAAGAGTTATTGATTCACCTCTATATTCATCGAGGTTCTGTAGAGTTTCAAAGTCAAGAGCGAGCATTGAAGGCAATCCTTTGGTTAACGCAGCAACCTCCATGAGTTCTAAACGTTCATCTTCAATAAGTTCCATAGATTCCTTTGCGATCTTACGAGCAATGGCCCTCTCATTAGCAGCTTTAAGCCTTGCAACCTCTTTTTCTTTACGCATCTCTTCTTTTTGTCGCATTTTCTCAGCCTGATTCATAATAAGAGGTGCAAATGAGTAAACAACATTTCACCTGAGTTCTCAATAAACTTAAAAGTAGCACATATTTCGCATTACCCTGATTGTTTCTTTCTTCAAAAACTTTTCTCTTCGCTGCAACTCTCGCATCTGCTCTTTCAGGTACCTCTCTTCCTCTCTCTGCTTTTCACGTAAAAGACGTTCTTCCTCTTTCCGTCTTTCACGATCTTGCCTCTCCATTTCTTTCCTTATTTGCTCCTCTCTCTGCATAATCAATTGACACAATGAACACAAACAACAAATACAGTTAATATATGCTTAGCTTAAATCAAAACAAGACCTTTCGCCTCAGCATATCTTGTTTCTCTAGTTCTCTTCGGATTCTCTTCTCGTGAGCCTCAACTTCCCGAGCTATTCTTGCTTCTTCATTCTACATTGTACATGTAAGGGAGAAAATGATGAGGACAGTTTCCTGCTATTTACACAATAATACCAAAAATTCACACTAAAACATTGTTTACAAACCTTGCGTTGTCTCTCTAACTGCAGGGCATCATCATCCTCATCCTCATTACCAACAACTCTCTCAGATTTCACAAAAGGATCCTCATGAATCGGGTGATCATTTAAGTTTCCATGTGCAGCAGTATCCACGTAGCTTTTCTGATACGGTGAGTCATATTCGGCCAAGTTAGGCGAATAGACATGCCCCGACTTCCCTTGATGAGTTGCAAGATTCAAATTTGGTATCTGAGGTGAAATTTTATAGTCATCCCGATGTCCAGCAGACACAGCTGAAGCCCTCATAACCGAACCATCAAGTGGAACTCCAAAATGATGTGACGGAGAAACTCTTTCGGAATGATCAGTCCTTGAAGATGGCAGCTCGGGAATGAACTGATATTCACGAATGGGCCTCACATGATCCTAAAATGGAAAAATAACAAATCACTGAGAACAAACAAAAAAGATTCAAGTATCAACAACAACAAATCATGTAGACAATACTAATGGAAACTAACTTTGATAGGCTTTACATCGGATCGAACATATATGTTGGTCTCAAACGCTTGCCTCGTCGCCTTTCGATGGCTTGGCATCTCTGCAAACATTATCGTTTTGGTTCGAATTAAACAACATTTCTATTGATACTAAAGAAGGATCTAGTTAAGTATAAATATATACCAATAGGCATCCCAAATGCACCAGGAGGTAAAGGATCAAACTCCATTCCAAGAATCGGTCCGTTATCTCTCAACCGCTCTCCCAATTGAGCTTCCACATAACCAATAGCTCTAACCTCAGCAGAAGACGGTTCATTAAACCGCCTAACAACCGTCACACCACCACCACTACCACCGCCTCCTCGAGCAGCTCTTCTAGAATCAAGCTCATTTCCCGCCACCAAATCACCTACATTGACGGCTGGTTTCAAGGATTCCACAGCCGTTGGTGTTACCAACTCCTTACGCTGACGTTTACTCGGCGTAGTAGATTTCCGGTCTTTAAGCCGCCGGTGACAAAACCACATCTGTAACTGTCTATCGGAAAGATTCAGTTTCACTGAAAGATCCGCTCTTATAGCTTCCGAAGGATAAGGCTCAGCTGAAAAAAAAAATTAAAATGATAAAACAGAACAAAACAAAACAAAAAGTAAGAAACTTTAATAACAACAACAATGGAGGAAGATTAAGAACACAAAAACAAACCTGCATAAGTGTTTTCAAGAACTTCAAGTTGAGCAGCAGTTTTCATTTTTCGTTTAGACTTACTCTCACCACCTTCAGGTGTTGTTTTTTCAGACCCACCTTCCATTTTCTGCAAAGAAACCCCAAATCCACAAAATTGGAAACCCTAGAAAATCCAGAAAAACAAAATCATGAAATTGATTTGAGGGCAAAATTAAAAAAGAACACTTACTTGAGGGGATGTTGAGAAAGTTGAATAACAGATCAAAAGTTTGAGACTTTAGAGGAAATTTTGGGTGGAGAAATTTGTGGGTTTGGTGTCTGAAGAACAAAGCGTTGGATTATTATTTTGGTTTGACGAAAAAGAGGAAGAAGAAGAAGTAAAGAAGAATAAAAATCTGTCCACCAAAAGACCAAAAAGAAAAAACCTTTCTCTCTCTATTACTACGAATGTGATTGTTGGGAATTTCACAAATAAAATCAAAAACATTAAACATTAGGAGGAGTCGCAATATCGACAAGATCATTAATAAAAACGAGAACAATTTTAATATTAAAAGAAATACTAAAAAGAAGATGAAATTTTGAACAAGAACAGCAACAAACGAACGAACAACAACAACAACAGTGTTTAGCCTCTGACTATTCGTTTCTTTCTTAATCATGATTTTTTTTTCTATTTTTTCTATTGAAAATAAAAAGAAGAAAATAATCGATATTGAATTGTGAACTGATTGAAAAAAATTTAATTTAAAACTTTGAGAGAGTTGTTTGGTGAATTGTCAGATTCTTTTTTTTTTTCTTTTTTTTCTTTGGTGGGTTTTTGTGAAAATCGAGGGAGTTTGATTCAGGGCTCGGGTTTCTCTCTCTTTGTTTCTCTCGCTTTGGATTATCAAATTTAATTTTTGGATTAAATAAATACTTGTTTTTTCTTTGGACTTGTGTTTTGTCGCTTGTGTTTGGATCTTGGACCTGACCGTTGTTGCCCCATTTATGTAATAAATCCAACCGCTTACTTATTTTTTTTGTAGTTTCACAGATTTTGTTCTAAAAAGGCCCATTATCCAAACTATTAGCCCATAACTAAGCCCGTTTACTTTCTTTCTTTTTCTTCTTCACAAGCCTGTTTACTAAATTTCTTTTGTCGTCAAATCGATTCATTTTTTTTTTACAAGGCCAAGAGATAATATATCTAGTGCAAATTGATTCTAGATTCTTTAGCTACGACCTTCGCAAATAGCAAATGTGGTTAGTTCCCCTTTTAATCATCATGAACTTAAAGTTACATGTTGCGGATATATGGAGCTTCAATATATCATGATATAAGTTACAGGCACAATTGGCATTTGTTATTGATGTTGTCATTTGATCACAGTAACTAGAGAGCTTACCTTGAAAGTTGAAAGTAATACCCTGAATTCACCATATAAATACCATATCTCGTATGTGTGCTGTTTGATTTGGGATTGGCTTGTTCGAGCTGTTTCTAATTCGTATATTTTTTTAAGAGTACCGAATTGGTACCGTTGATTCATAAGAGTAGATGGCCAAGAAGCTATGGATATATCTAGTGGAACTGATTCTAAGACATTGGCAAATAGCAATGTAGTTAGCTCGTTTGAACTTCGGTTTTTTTTTTTTACCGAGAAACCGCTCCACGTTGATGTTGGAATTAGGCCAAACTCACGAACACCATCTCCCAATTGAGAGTTCTTTTTTTTTTTTTTGCCAATCAATTGAGAGTTCTACACATACATTTGTGAGAAATCTATCGGTCCAATACAGAAACACAATGGTGGTTACTTGACATATTTCTTATTTGTAAGAGAATTAGTTTATACTATATTTCAAAAACACACAAAAACTTGTATAAAAATGGTTACAAAATTGGAGATGTTTATGGAATTTTATGTCATCTTTTAGTAGCCGTTCTAGTGATAGCCATTATCTAAGCAAATATTTGAGATTATTCGAAATCTATAGCCAGAAACAAATTACATTTCATTGTAGATTTGTAACAATAATATTACATAAACAAAAACTAGCTTCATGATTCAGATTCAGCTTCATTCTTCTTCACCTTCTTCCTAAAGATATAAACATCAGTTTCCTCATAAGCATAATCATGATGAAGATGCTCATGAGGAACTTTCTCAATCTTAAAAACGACGTCGCATAACTCCCAAAACAATTTATCAGCTTCCGGTGACCTAATCTGATAACCTAACAACACCGCACCATCATCCGCCACCAACAACTCCATCGCCGTCACTAACTGCCCTACAGATTCCTCAATATACACAACATCCGCCGCAATAACCAAATCAAACGGCGGTTTCAACGCCGAGATCTGATCTCGATTGTTCCAATAAAAAATCGAGGTTTTTAGAGATTTACCTAACGCCGTTTTGTTCCGTTTCAGATTGTGTTTTAACGCCGGCATAACTGGTGCTATGTCTGTGAGTACGATCTCCGTTAGACCTAGTAAGTAAAAAGCCATACCGGCGACTCCGCATCCGGTACCTAGTTCGATTCCACGACGGCGGCGGAAATCGAAGAGTTCGGCGTATGGATTTGGAGATGTTGTTGTTGATGATGATGATGATGATGAGTCTAGTGTTGACCATCGTTCGGCGAATTTGGAGAGGATTAGTGAGCAAGGCCAAACGGAGGTTCCGACGTGCATTGAGCCATTGTCTTGTTGGATTGAGAGTTTTGTGCCGTTCACTGTCAAATCGATCACCGGAGAATCTGTGAATTTCATTTCTCTTCTTCGATTCTTCTTCTTCTCTCTCCCCGACTATCACTTTGTGTAGTGGAAAATTAGGGCTTTCGTTTTATTTGCTAATGGGCTTTTATATGGGCTTGAAAGTTTGTTATATAACCAAAAGCTTGGGCTGAACTGAATGCTTCTTTATGTATTTTATAAACGAATCTATGCATATTTGCATATTTTGTACATAACAAATATTTTATAGAAAACCATTGTTAATGCCATAGGCAAAAGCTAAAGTTTGGTGGTTGGTCTAATATTTTGTCCTAAATGGACAATGAATTTAGTTGCCCTACATATTTTTTTTATTGGGTCAAGTCGGAGATGTTTTGTGTGTGTTTTCAATAATCAAAACTGTATTTATCTTTTTATTTTTTAATTGTCTTTCACAAAAAAAAAGACAAAATCTACTATATCAACCTAACTTTTTTTTCAAATATATAAAAGATTAAAATATGAATTTGATCTCACTTGCACAACTAACAAAATTTTTACAAATTTTCATCAAATCAGCTGTTTTCAAAATCTTCAAACACTTTCTTAATATTTGATCAATCTCCCAAACGTTACCAACACCTGTCTATTATGTGCCATAATAAGGGAGAGCAGTTTGGTGCTGAAGCAGAAACTAAGAATTTGGCAATGAAGTAGCTTGGTGAGACTCGTGGTGAGACACAAGTGACGACTTATCTGGTAAAGTTGTTGAGATACAAGCTGATATTAACGTATAGTAGGTTGGTGAGTTTGGTGAAAGATGATCTGTATGGTATATAAGCCCGTCTCAATATATAATGGGACTTCTAGCAAAACAAAAAAAAAATTCTAAAACATCTTAGTAAACAAAATTAGGCATTTTATTCTTAAATTTTTTTTTGAAATTAATAATAGACACATGACATTTGTCTAATCTGTCATGGGATAGAGACGGACAACTCATATGGGTCATAAAAAAACATAAATGACGACATAACCAATTTTATTATAATGAAATTGTTATTTGTAATAAATTTGATGATCACGGTTAAAAACAGCTTGGTGAAGGTTTTTCGTTTTTGAAGGTTGTTGACGCAATATAGTAGTTATTATGATTTATAGGTAGAATTGTAGTATGCTTTATTTATAACGTGTACACTTTTAGCCTTAGCAGTCAACTTCTTACTGTTATTAAAAAACAATCAGAACTGTTCATTATTTTCTTTTTTGAAACTATATATGTCATGAATATTTTACATCTCTAAAACAATGAATACATGGAAGAAAATAGTATTATATGATGTTATCGAGCAAGCTTCATATAATTATATTGTCAATAAAGTTTGAAGAAAACTTAAAATTGTTTTTGAAGAATTTTGTACTACTAATTATCAGTTTTTGGGGGCAAACTTATTGAATTCTCTTTGTATAACTATAACATAGATGACTGAATCTAATTTTCTTCATGAGAGCAAAAGGGAGATAAGATAAAAGGTGGAAAAAAAGCCTAAGCTAGGAATATCAAGCTTTTTCTCTTTTCCTATTCTTTTCAGTTACACAACCTTTGAGTTGATTAGCGAAATAAGGATTCGGGAATCCGAGAAGATCGCTAGAAAGGCAACATGATATATAAGGAGCTTCAATAAGTTAGAGGCACAATTGGTGTTTGCTATTGATGTTGTAATTTGATCTTAGAACTAGAGAGCTTACCTTGAAAATTGAAAGTAATACCCTGACTTCACTATAAAAATACCATATCTCGAATGTATGCGATTTGATTTGAGATTGGCTTGTTCGAGCTGTTTCTAATTCGAACTTTGGTTCTTTTACTGCAACCGCTCCACAGCGATGTGGAATAGGCCAAACTCACAAACACAATCACCTAATTGAGAGTTCTACACACAGATTTCTGAACAATTTATCGGTCTAATACAACAACACAGTGGTGGTTACTTGACATATTTATTTGGGCCAAAGAATTAGTTTGTATCTATTTCAAAAATACACAAAATTGGAGATTTTATGGAATTTGATGTCATTTTTAGTAGCCGTTGGAATGTATATCAAGAAACAAATTACACTTCATTGTAAAAAAAACATTACAGAAACAAAAACTAGCTTCATGATTCAGATTCAGCTTCACTCTTCTTCATCTTCTTCCTAAAGATATAAACATCAGTTTCCTCATAAGCATAATCATGATGAAGATGCTCATGAGGAACTTTCTCAATCTTAAAAACGACGTCGCATAACTCCCAAAACAATTTATCAGCTTCCGGTGACCTAATCTGATAACCTAACAACACCGCACCATCATCCGCCACCAACAACTCCATCGCCGTCACTAACTGCCCTACAGATTCCTCAATATACACAACATCCGCCGCAATAACCAAATCAAACGGCGGTTTCAACGCCGAGATCTGATCTCGATTGTTCCAATAAACAATCGAAGTTTTCAGAGATTTACCTAACGCCGTTTTGTTCCGTTTCAGATTGTGTTTTAACGCCGGCATAACTGGTGCTATGTCTGTGAGTACGATCTCCGTTAGACCTAGTAAGTGAAAAGCCATACCGGCGACTCCGCATCCGGTTCCTAGTTCGATTCCACGACGGCGGCGGAAATCGAAGAGTTCGGCATATGGATTTGGAGATGTTGTTGTTGTTGATGATGATGATGATGAGTCTAGTGTTGACCATCGTTCGGCGAATTTGGAGAGGATTAGTGAGCAAGGCCAAACGGAGGTTCCGACGTGCATTGAGCCATTGTCTTGTTGGATTGAGAGTTTTGTGCCGTTCACCGTCAGATCGATCACCGGAGAATCTGTGAATTTCATTTCTCTTCTTCGATTCTTTTTCTCTCTCTCCGACTATCACTTTGTGTAGTGGAAAATTAGGGCTTTCGTTTTATCTGCTAATGGGCTTTTTATGGGCTTGAAAGTTTGTTATATAACCAAAAGCTTGGGCTGAACTGAATGCTTCTTTATGTATTTTATAAACGAATCTATGCATATTTGCATATTTTGTACATAACAAATATTTTATAGAAAACCATTGTTAATGCCAAAGTTTGGTGGTTGGTCTAATATTTTGTCCTAAATGGACAATGAATTTAGTTGCCCTACATAGTTCTTTTATTGGGTCAAGTCGGAGATGTTTTGTTTGGAGATGTTTTGTTTGTGTTTTCAATAATCAAAACTGTACTAGGATATGACCCGCGGTATACCGCGGGTTAATTATTTGATTTTTTTTATATTTTTTTATAAACTGATGAATTTGTTGTGTATGATATTTTTTGTTGTACACCGCGGGTCACATGCGTTGTATATAAAAAAATAAAAAATTTAAGTTGTATTTGTTTTGTTTACTGTTTAAGATTGTATAATTAAATTTTGATTTGTTAATTCTAGGATTTCACCCGTGGTATATTGTCCCGTATTAATATCGACCCAAACCCGTCCCACCATATATTCCTGTCCTGTGGAATTAAACATCATTTTGTTATTTTTTTAATAACACTTTTATTTAAAAGATATATAATTCGAGTCAATTTAAAAGTTTACTTTCAAATGGTTTTCATAATATATATATTTTAAAATTAGTATGTGTTTTTGGACCAACCCGTAAAAAAAATTTATTATTGTATCTTAAAATACTAAATAATTGTATTTTGATTTGTTAATTTTAGGATCTCACCCGTGGTATACTGTCCCGTTTTAGATAATAGTAGAAATTAAGAAAAGATCTGAATGACTCAATTTCGGGTCAGAATAAAAAAACGATTTGATTAAATGTGCAATTTGTTCTTAAAAAAATGTTAATATAGATTATGCACATATTTTTTTCTTCATCGATTGAGTAATATATGTCTGTTTTAAAAAATTTGAATCATAACATATGCAGAAAAAAAAAAACCTAAAATTTATTAACTATATATATTTTATAATAATACAAAATAATATAAATAAAAGATCAAATAAAAGTGAAATGAGAATCATATATTTATGTTTAAATTAGGTAGAGAGGTTTTAGGAAATTAGCTCAAATTTGTTATATTATCATTAAATTATCATATTTGATTTCCTAATATATAAAATTGGTAAAGAATATACCATAAATAAATAGTTTAGATATAGTAATTAGTTGAGAAAATATATATAATTTAGATTTTATTAGGTATTTTCGTTTTTTTAGTTTGCCATAATTTAAGGAAAGATCCGATTGAAGATTTCCGGGTCAAAATCTTTAAAAAACCCGACCCGATTAGAGGAGCAAATTTGTACTTCAAAAATGTTAAGTAGATTTATCTTTTTATTTTTAATTGTCTTTCACAAAAAAAAAAGACAAAATCTACTATATCAACCTAACTTTTTTTTCAAATATATAAAAGATTAAAATCTGAATTTGATCTCACTTGCACAACTAACAAAATATTTACAAATTTTCATCAAATCAGCTGTTTTCAAAATCTTCAAACACTTTCTTAATATTTGATCAATCTCCCAAACGTGACCAACACCTTTCTATTATGTGCCATAATAAAGGAGAGCAGTTTGGTGCTGAAGCAGAAACTAAGAATTTGGCAATGAAGTAGCTTGGTGAGACTCGTGGTGAGACACAAGTGACGACTTATCTGGTAAGGCTGTTGAGATACAAGCTGATATTAACGTATAGTAGGTTGGTGAGTTTGGTGAAAGATGATCTGTATGGTATATAAGCCCGTCTCAATATATAATGGGACTTCTAGCAAAACAAAAAAAAAATTCTAAAACATCTTAGTAAACAAAATTAGGCATTTTATTCTTAAATTTTTTTTTGAAATTAATAATAGACACATGACATTTGTCTAATCTGTCATGGGATAGAGACGGACAACTCATATGGGTCATAAAAAAAACATAAATGACGACATAACCAATTTTATTATAATGAAATTGTTATTTGTAATAAATTTGATGATCACGGTTAAAAACAGCTTGGTGAAGGTTTTTCGTTTTTGAAGGTTGTTGACGCAATATAGTAGTTATTATGATTTATAGGTAGAATTGTAGTATGCTTTATTTATAACGTGTACACTTTTAGCCTTAGCAGTCAACTTCTTACTGTTATTAAAAAACAATCAGAATTGTTCATTATTTTCTTTTTTGAAACTATATATGTCATGAATATTTTACATCTCTAAAACAATGAATACATGGAAGAAAATAGTATTATATGATGTTATCAGCAAGCTTCATATAATTATATTGTCAATAAAGTTTGAAGAAAACTTAAAATTGTTTTTGAAGAATTTTGTACTACTAATTATCAGTTTTTGGGGGCAAACTTATTGAATTCTCTTTGTATAACTATAACATAGATGACTGAATCTAATTTTCTTCATGAGAGCAAAAGGGAGATAAGATAAAAGGTGGAAAAAAGCCTAAGCTAGGAATATCAAGCTTTTTCTCTTTTCCTATTCTTTTCCTCCACTATAAAGTATAAAAATTTTGCCTTCGAGTTAGGGTTATGATATAAATAATTGAGCTCCAAAAGTCTCCACCTTTCATTGTCCCCACAGCCACCACTTCTCCACTCTATCTATGCTTTTTGTTTTTGTATATTCTTGCATACAATAAGAAAAGACCTTTCTTACTCTTTAATGGAGAATATGCATGGATCTTCACTTTATCTTCTGCACCGAATATGCTTATAAAACCAGATTATTTCTTTGAATTCCTTTATTCCTTGACCCAATATATACGCGAATCAGTCCGATGATCGATGATACAACTAACAACTTAGTTAACTTTATGTGTTTTGGGTTAAATGACGATGTTCAAACTTTCCATAAATCGTTAGCCTTTTACATCATTTCCCATTTAAATGATTTCAACTATATATAAGACCATATGCATCCCATGGAAAAAGAGTTGAACACTATAAATATCTATATTATTACCCAAATTCAATAAAGTTGATTGTTTAGAAGAATAGGATAAATAGTATAATTCGAAGATGAATATAATATTGGTGAGTCAAATATCATTTACATTATGCGAAAAATAACATGAATGGGACTTAAAAAATAAATTAAACAATGTTAAGGGTGGGGAGGGGTTTTTGAATACGAAAACTTTTCAAAGCATAAGGATATTAGTTAAAGTTAAAATATTAAAGTATATACGATAAACTCTTAAAATAAAATTTTTGGTGAATATTAAAGTAGGTCACATCATAACATAAACCATTGTGTTTTAATTTTGTCTTACAAATATTTGTTAACGTTGTAGGTTTTGAATTGTGTACCATCCTCTTAAAAGAAAATAAAAACTCAAAAGATTTTGAATGTCTTGTTATATGTCCTAAAGAGTATTCCTTCAAAACATACTCGATGAATAATATATACATGATTTATATTATATATCTTGAAGATAAACACACATTCATTACACATATACCATAAGCTTTAAAATCTTGAATTAATAAAAGAAAACAACTTTCATTACCATATTTGTTCTTATAAAATGGTGGAAGTTACAAAAGATTCCTTCTTCTTTTTTGTTATTAAACTGTATCAAATCCATCCATTGATAGACGATGGATGGCACAACGTTTGTACACCGACCCCGAGGAAATCCCGAGTTTGCCCTCCTCCACCTCCTTCTCCTCCACCATCGACTCTTCTACGTTTCCAAGGGTAATTCTGTAATTCATCCAACGCAGACGCAACCGTAACTTCATTTCTAGCGTTCTCAATCTCCTGATGATCATGATGACTATGATTCATTAACCCAATGTTGTTGTTAGACCCGTACAAAGCAAAGAACTTTTCGCCACCGTCATAAGTGGTGGTTTGATCGGAGGATTTAAGCGGGAAACTTTGAAGAAACGTTGACTGGTCGTTAGTCGCCGCCGTCGTTGTAGAAGTAACGCCAATTTCAGCAGCTTTCTGTAGTAACGCTGTTGCGGACATATTCGCGCTTGAGTTTGCGTTTGCGTTTTGTGGTTGGTCACTGCTGAATAAAGAAGGAACAGAGAGAGTAGTAGTAGTAGTGGTCAAACTTGCGTTTGCGTTTTGCGTAATGTGCTCATCGTGAGGATTATTATTATTATCAATGCATGCAGACAATGCCTTAGCGTTTCCAAAAACCCAGTCGTAGTCCTGCGGTTGCGGTTGAGGCGGCGCGATATCTTGTCCCATCCATAGGGAAAGCGACGACGGAGGTGGTGGCTGAAAATGTTGATGATGGTTTTGATTTGTTTGCGGTTGCGGTACAAATGTTTGAAGCGGTGGAATGAATGTTCCCATGAGATATTGATAGTTGAGATTAACTGATCCTGCTGCTCCAGCCGCGGCTAAACCGTTGAGATGAGACACTGCGTTTATCTTAGCGGTTTCTTCCGCTAAGGCATCGCAAAAAGCTCTATGAGTGATGAAGCTGTCTCGCCTGTTTCAACCAAAACCACCATTAATGTCATAATCAACACTTATCTCAACGCATATATATCAAAGTTTTAATTGATGAAAATTACTTGAAAACATTTAGATGCCTTTTCTTTATATGTGCAGCAGTAAAAGTAGAAAAACCAAGTACAAAATTCCGTCACATGAACTATTGATTTGTCAATCTTTGTGTTGACACTTTTTCCGCATATTGAGTAAAAGATAATGTTACCATTTTGAACCATCCACACATAAAACTCCATGTATTTGTATATATTATTATATCTAGCAATTATCTTATATATATGTTCATCATGGTTACTATAAATTTGTACCACTTTTTGCCACAATCATCACACTAACAAAAACATTTCCCAAGCAAGCCTACTTCAAGAAGATAAACAAACACATAGAAAATGACAAAACATACTTATAAAACTTAATCAAACTACTTATTGACAAAAACGAAGAAGATGTAGACACTATAAAGCTACTACTAAACAGCCTTCGAACATGATCAATACAAACGACAACACGTATATACATATATAAATGTGTATTTGGAGATATATAATTCACATGAAGTTTATTTCAATTTAATAAGTGTACCTTGAGAAAATGGTGCCACAGTCGCAACGGTACTCTCTAGTACCACAAGTCTTGGAATGAGCTTTCCAATCAGATTGGACTGCATATCTCTTGGCACATTTCTCGCACTTCCACTTCTTCTCGCCGTGTTTCCGGCAAAAATGCTTTTTGATTCCGGTGAGATCGCCTAGAGCTCTAGAGGAGTGATGGTGGACACATGTCTTCTCGGGGCAAACATAGACACGTTTTCTCACTTCTTTGCTTGTCCTCTGCTTCAACTTCCATGGAAGATTGTGTCCTCGCCGATGAAGCTGTAAGTTTTGGTCTCTTTGGAAACCTTTGCCACAGATCTCGCATAGGAACCGGTTCGTAGCCATCAAGGTCTTGGGGGATAAAGCTATCACTTCAGCTTCCGGATCTAAGTGGATCATTAACATTTGTGGTTTCATTAATTAGGTCAAATCGGAAAACAACATCTATATTTGGATTGGATCATGTATTTTAGTCAAAACAAAAATGTATTTTAGTCAAAACAAAAATGTATTTGCTTTTCTTTGTGGGGTAATAATAATAATAAAGGGTATGTAAATATATATTCTCATAATCAATACAATTTCAAGAGAAGAACTCTAAGGAGCCTTGTATTCACATTAATTAAGCATGACCCAATGATCAAATATATAACTCATGCAGCCAAATAATAGTTTTGATATAGGTCAAGATCCAGAACAAAATAACCCATGGAAATTAATTAATAGGGGAACAAAGTAGAAAAAGATTCTAGGGTTTTCTTTTTAGGTGATGATCAAGCTAGCTTAGATTTAATATAAAATAATTACCAGGATTTCCAGGGAGATTTCTCTTCTTCTTAACAAGAGGAGGATTGATGAGAGATTCATCATGATCCAGAGTTGATGAGCTCTGAGCAAAACCTGATCCACTAGAGATTGTTTGAAGAATTTCACTTGTCATGTCTTCTTCTGGGTTCTTGACTTCTTGGGAGAGAAATTAAAAGTAGGTTTTTGTATATAGTTGAGAGAGAGAGAGAGAGAAGGAGACAAAAGGTTAATATAAGAAAAAGATTAGAAATACTAAGAAATCTGCAAGTTAACTATGAATGTGAGAATAGGAAAAAACAACAAAGACAAAGATATATTGGGTTCTCCACTTATATATGGCTTTTGTCTTAACCTATACCACTCTATATTAGCTCCTATATATAAATGTGTGTGTGGTGTATATGAGCACCTTGATCTGTTAAACTGTTGCAGCCATTTTGATTAAAATAAAAGGTTAATTATATCTTTTATTTCTTTTATGAGATTATTTTAAGAGGGCAAAGTGGATGGCGGTGGAAAATCATAAGCTGAAAGTGATAGCAGCAGAGCCAATAAAATTTTAAAATGCAGGGATAGAAAAAAATTACCATCCCTTGATTATTTTATAGGCACCATCTGTTTGCAGTTTCACTATGAAATATTTAAATATAATAAACAATTTTATTTTTATTTGGTATAATTCATTTTATTTCATTGTTCATACATCACTATTTTTGTATAGACATGGTATTTTCCAAAGAGTAATTTAATTACATTTTTTCACAAATGATAATAACATATTTATGCATCATACAACATCAAATGTTTAATTTATATTTAGAAAAATCGATTTATAGCTTTCCAAATTCGAAGTGAGCTGTTAAAAAATGTAATTAAATTATTACTAATTTAGATATTCGAATTTTTGCTTTAGTAGTGCGTTATGACACATAGAAAGTTGATATTTCTAACTTTTCTATTTAGAATGATGATCCCGTTATTTGTGTTGCCCTTTCCTCTCCATTTTTTTCTGATTTTTTGGGTCCAATAATTACTTACTTTTGTTCCTACATGCTCATGTCAACTTAGTGCAAAAAAACAATTCTTACTATATGTTTGTTTTTTTGACATCTCTTTCTATATGTGTTTTTTTGGGGATAAAATGTGAAGTTATTTACCAAAACGAACAGTTTTTTTATTAAAAGATCTTTTCGTAGCTACAAAGTTTCATTTGCAAAAACAAAATCTAGATACAACAGTTTTAGGAATTAGAAAGAGCTTTACGCATATATAGGTGAACTATTGGGAGAGCAAAGTTATGTAAGCATTGTGATTTTTTCAAGCCTGTAGAGTATATAATATCATGCATTTGCATCGATCAATCTGTCTAAACTCTAAAGACTGTTGAGACTGTAGTGGAGTGCAGTTATGAAGCCTATTGTTATCATCACGCCGTTGTAGCCTGGGCCGTTAATCTTTTTGGATTCAAGGAATCATTCAAGGAGTTTGATAACATATTGAAAATTATATAGTTTCTATATATGTATTCGTTAGTTTATCTAAAATGAATTATGTTTACAAACTAATGTATATCTAGTTACAATAACTACAAAAAACAGCATATTCCGACAATAGTATTAGTCAGAAATTCGTCGGTACAAAAAAATTCCAACGAATTACCGACTAAAATTGTTGGTCGGAAACAAAAGTTTTTTGGAAAATCGTCGAAACTTTTTGACAATCATCAGAAATTTGTAAAATACAATCACTTTTTAAGAAAAAAAATCAATAATCATATGATTTATGAATTGTACAATCACTATAATGCTAATTTGAAGGTATAAGGAACGAAACGATGTATTTTTTTTTTAATAGTTCAGTAAAAAATCATATGATTAATTTGAAGGTATAATCATATGATCTAGTAACTGTGTTTTCATTTTGTTCAAGTTTATTAATTAGTGAACAATAAGGAATTATAACTTTAATTGTCACCTTTTTCTTTTCAAGAAAGAATTGTATTGAGTATGAAAACACAGTTACTGGATCACTCCCATCATATATATGGACATAGTCATTAGCTAGCTATTCATGAATCAGAATTTTTCACAATATGTGAAAGAGGTAAAACAGATCCAACGGTGATGGGCACATCTCTTGTTTGTCGAACAAAGCCTGCCATGCACGTGTACCCATGCACGTGCTCTTTAGGTATACTCCAACAACATACGACAAAAATACCTAAGATAAATTAGACATTCATTGAGACTTGAGAGTTCGTTCGACAGTAAAATCAAACTTTTCTTTATGAAATGTTGAAATTTTATTATTACGATGAAGCTAGCTGATATATCAAACTCTTTAAAACATAAAATTCTTAAATTGATTTCGCCTATGATCTATTTCTTATTCATTTTGTTTTTATGAATATTGTTTTTGGATTTGAGAAGAAAATTTGGTGACTTTATTGAATGGTGGATAAAAGTATAATTTTTTCTTGCTTTTCTATGATAAAATTTCTCCATTCTCTTTTTTTTCCCCCTTTTTTTCTTTAAGAAAGTGGTATCAAGTAACAAAGCGTATTTTTCTTTTGGAAAAAAGTATATACATAAATATTTGTAATTTAACAAAGTACATTCTTATTTCTTCCGCAAGACATTATATGTAGGGAATTATTACTGAATAGCCAAATTAGACACACAAATTAAGTAAATAGCAGAGAGAAAATTTTTGTTGCAAAATAGCCATGGTCCCACCTTGTCAGAAGAAATGAAATAACGAAATCATCCTTCGTTTGTTGCAAGTTCAACCGTATGCAAGACAATTTCGTGAGATTTTGCAAAATAGCATGTAACATTTAAAGTTCACATGTTATATTAAACTGAAATACATGATATTTGGAAAAATATAGTGATTTTTTAAGAAAAAACATCGTTATGGAAAAATCTAACCTGAAAAAAATCTTTTTTTAAAAAAATTACATGTGATCTTAATAAAAACCGTGTAATATTACAAAATAAGAATCTTTTTTTAAAGAAATCACATGTAATCTAAAGTAAAAACATGTATTACTATAAAATAACATGATAAAGAGAGATATTAAACTAAATAGAATGTTTTTTCAGGAAATACCATGTGCTTTTTATAAATAATGTGTAATACGAGAAAATAACATGATAAAAAGATCTATATTACGTTATAACATGTAATTCGAGAAAAAAACGTGTTACAAATGACACTTACGTAATTTCACAAGCATTCCGACATGTTCCCGACATGTTACTGTAGCTCATGGTTAGTTTGTATATTCTTTTTGAATTCATGGTTACTTTGTATATATTCCCTTATATGTATTGGTCTCAAATCTTTGCGAAATTCATTTCCATCTCATGCGAGTTGCGACAATATATATATCATCAATCCGAACTTCTTCTACATTATATTTTGACAGTAATACCAATTCCTAAGCTGTTTTTATCTTATTCTTATTTGTTAATATAACTATAGTAAAACTCCAGATCTCTGACTTAAGAAAATTTTATACATATGGAAGCAGTTTTTGATAAACCTCTAGCCAGTCTACATTAAAACTGTCTTTTTATCTTTCAAAAGTTAGATTAAAAACAAAAAATCAATCAGCTTAATACTGTAGTTGTAATGTCATTTGAGCTAATCACATTAGGCAGCTATTTTGGATAATATCTATATTATATGATATATCTTATGTTAAAATATGTTAGTAGATTTTGGTCTTCTACATTTACCCTATGTACCTAAATGAGGTTAAACACTCTTACCTAATGAATCAATAACAAGAAAACCTCTATACGCTCTAGGTTTCTTGACACTATATTGTATATAAATTATTATGAGGCATGCCAAGAATTAAGTAAATCTAAATAGTTTGTTTTTTGCCCTAAGATAAGACGTGAAATTATCATGGTCTAATTAAAAAGGAAAAGGTGTGAGACATAGAACTGACAAAAGGCAGATAAGGTTTTGAAAGTCGACTGCTTGTGGGCTGACTTAATTAACAATTCTTTTTGAGTATAATTTAAACTTTAATCATAATGTAATGATGTTTTTAAGAGTGTCCTTTTTGTATTAAAACTGGTAAACTTTTGTTTATTATTAAATTTTGGATTTTTCTTCTTGAACTCTGGTGGCACCAGAATATTCTCCTACAATTTTCAAGACCTTGTAATGTATAGTATTGTTCACCTTGATATATAATAAAGATGCGAAGACAGAAATGTATCCAAAAATATAAACGTATATATAGACGTGCTCCTATATGTATATATATATATATATATATAGATTAACATCCATGAAAAAATGATTACGAATTTCCATATATGTATGATTGTTGAATTTGAATTTTTTTTCTTCATATCTTACAATTATATCAGAAACAAATTAAACTTGTGTGTGTGTATTTATAGTTTGTTAAATAAAATATATGACTGATGGATTGAGGGTACTCACGCTTTATCTTCTCAGAAGTTAAATAAAAATATATATGTAGAAATAGCATAATAGTGCAAAGCAAGACAGATGTGGATCTAGAGGGTACATTACAGATATACCACATGCTCTTGGTTCATAAGAAAGTGGAAGAATATATACTCTTTTGCAGATGCATTATTAGGTTAAGACATGTATATTCCTTTGTGATTTTGCCTTGTACTCGTTGGGAGATAAAATAAAAAAGAAGTAGAGTGCCAAGAATATATATCGTGACTGAAATATGATATATACAATTAGAGTGCCCATATATTATATATACAATAAAGAAATTACGACGAGTTATATTGCAAATTACTTTTGATTTTGTGGAATTGACTTGTATTTTTTTGAAATGAAAGATAAAGTTGCAAAAATAGTGATTTAGAAGTTTTTTTTAACAAAAAATCCTAATTAAATACATACAGCTAATCTTTCAAAAGTTATCTTTTAAAAATCTCTATTTCTACTTTTGTATGGGACGAGCTCGATTTTTCGAGATTGATCCGGATCGTCCTCCACCAAAAAAAAATTATGGACCCAAAAAATATTAAAATTTCCTCAATCACTATATATCGATCCCATAAATTTCAGTCTAGTGTGAACTTGTTTTAAGGTTTTGACCCATAGTCTAGAATTAGAGTTCAAAATAGAGTTCAAAGTTAAAGGGTCGTAT